AAAGGCAATGCATAACGATGCAATGAACAGTGGTAGCATTGGAAAAAAGCAGTAAAGACGATTATGACCGAGGAGAGGACCACCACAGTCAGGGCTGTCCATATGTATGCAGTTTAGGTAAAAGACAAGCAAGAGATTGAGAAAACTTTGGTTTGTCATCCCAGGAAAATGGAAAGAATTACCCTGGACATTGAGTGGGTGGAGGCTGGTGTGGCAGGTTGCGGAGTGACAGAACGTGGTACCAGCCCTTCACCGAATAAATAAGGGGACATTGAGACTCGTCTGCGTCCTGGTCGTCATACAGATGTGGCCACTAGCCTTCAATGCCTGGCTGGTTCCCCACCATCGTTCAGCATTTAACGCCACGAGTTCCGCCTACCCAGTGGTGTGCGGCATGGCTTCATTAGGAACAAATGCTCTCATGATGACGAGCTCTTCACGGCAGCGATGATGACCTGATTTCCTTGCATTCCTTCGCGAATACGTAAAGACTCCTAAAAGAGGAGAAATCTGGCTTCGGATCTAATTGCAACTGGGCTTCACGCTAGAAAAAAACCCCCAATATATTTAGATAGGTTAGCAGTTACTCAGCCGATAGATTCCTTTGCCGTGACAAAAGGTGCAATGATGTAACGGCTGAAGTTAGATGACTCCGTTTTGCGGGCAAGCCATCGTCAAGCGGCAAGCGCCAAAACGCTGACCGGATAATGGCCCCCGGAGTGTCTGATAGCGTGCGTAACAGCACACAGCCATGGCCCCACTGCAGGTCTGCTTTTCACTGAGGGGAGAGCATAACATGGTTAGCCATGAAAGCTAATAGCTCTGTTCAGTCGTTTCTCAATATGTCATGGCCTGAAAGAGAAGGAAAGCCCTTCTAGACAAAAAAAAAATAAAACAGCAGCAGCAGCAGTGAATGTGCTTAACCGAATCGGTCTAGGCCACAGCTTGAGTACTCCACCCCGGAGGTGAGGTTTAAATATCAGAGCAGGCCGCACTGAAAGCATCATATGGGCCATTTAGGCTCACGGCTGTCAGCCTGCGCTGGGAGCTTCCTAATTACGCTGCACTGGTGGTGCCTACAAACGTGTGAAGTGCTGCAAGTTCAGACACGTCGACACGCTACGGCCGGCCAACATCCAGCCCTCTAATTGCTTCTTTCATACTTTTTATTTGGCTCCAAGTTTTGCTAATTGCATCTCGACGTTGTCTCTTGCTCCGAACAACAATAACAATAATTTTTTATTATCGTTTGTTACAAGAACAACAATACGATGAATGACTCAGACGGTGATAAATCATAAGAAGTCACTTGATCACAGCGCGTTTTCATTTCCAAAGACCGTACGAACCACCACCAAATCTACTCCATCTGGTGGTCGCATTCATGCATCTCCTCACAGCCGCCCTCATACCGTACAACCGTAGTCCGAACCCAAAAAATGATCCATTGCATCCATATTATTTTTTCCAATAATTCCAAAATTCCTAAAAGCCCTTATTATTTTTTTTTCTCAGTGAGTTCCAGGAAAACACAATGCCAGACACTAAAATGCAAGGCTGATGGCTAAAATCTATACCATCTCTAAAAATCATAAATTATAAAAACCCCATTGATTTTTAATTGTACTTTTCTTATTCAAACCTGTCGGTCAGCCGCCAGCCCCAGGCAGACTGCGGTCGTGACGCTGCACTTAACCAATGGCGCGCTTCACCTCCGGGAGGCCGGCCGGCCAGGTTTTCTGCAGGCCCGTCCGCCCAGGGACGCACCCCGAGGTCGCGTGCTGAGTGTAGTAAAAGCACGCGCTCTGACCGCGGGGCATTAAACCCCCCCACTGCGCCGTGCCCACCCCCCCGGCTGCGGGCTGGGGAGGCCTCCAAAGCCGCCGACTCGGCATCTCTGCCCCGGCGCTTCATCATTACTGGGTTTGCGCGGAGACCCGGGCCGTCGGATGAAGGCCAAGGAGCGTAAGAGTTTCCATGAGGAAAAAACCGCACACGGCCGATGGTGGGGACTCGGGACGGGGAACCTCCGAAAGCTTTAGCAGAAGCGGTTGTCGTGATAATGGAGACAGAAAGGGAGCGAGGCGGGGTGGAAAAGACAGACAAAGCCTGTGTTAAATCGGGACTCTCTGTCTGCTTTTTCAATAATAAAAAAAAAGCTTAGAAAAATGTGCTGCGCTCTCTTTACTGGGCGAACCCAGCTCTCAGCTTCACTCCGGTTACGTAACAGACTTTAATTTGGGGAGGAAAATAACCAGATGTGGATTTTCTTTTCAGAATAAAAAAAGGACACAGGAAGGTGTTGTCTGTGTGTCGGGCCGTCAGGAACACAAAGCGCACACATGTGAGAGGGGCTCCCAGTGAATAGGCCTCACTGTGCTCGAGTACAGCTGCTACAGATCTGCCTCCCTTGTTGCACGACGGCGCTTGATGATGTCACTCCTCGCGCCCGGGGGCCTAATGAGGGGAGACGGGGCCGGCAGGGGAGGGATTTCACCCACAGCTCAGTGCTGCCGCGGCACCCCGCCACACAAAGGGGTCCTTCATTACGGTTCCAGGCTCTACTCGCAAGGGGTTTCTGCCTGAGTTTTCGAATGGTGGTGTGTGTGTGTGTGGGGGGGTTGCTTGACGTGAAAAAGGGACATAACGATGCCATTCCCATGTCTGGCCCCCTTCCACATCAAAGCAGGAATGCTGCACTCCTGGGATTTTTCACAACGGATGAATAGATTTTGTTTTACCGAATGAGTATTTTATCTCTATGATTATTTCATTATGCTTCATGTGCCAATATAGATGAGGAACTGTGCTGAATTCATTGGGAGGGAGGGTTCCAAAACACAGGGGCACTTTGTTGCAGCGAGGCCCCACCTTCACCATGTGACTGCAGGAGTGGGTCCCTGTCATGCTGAATGACAGGTGTGCAGAACGTCACCTGGCACCTCTGCTCCTACCCTGTCACACGTCACCCCTGCCTTGTAGTGCCTGTCTACCCAGAAGACGCCAAAGCACCATCGCCCCACCGCACAAAGACATACGCTTACAGGATTCACGGTGAATGTGCACGGTGAATGTGCACTGATTTTTAGAGCTTCCTGTTGTGCACTGATTTTTAGAGCTATATAGCCTCTTACAGGAAAATACCTCTCGAGGTTTATCCAGGTGGGAAGACAGAGGGCGATACCTGAAAGATGGACCTGGCAACCCACACCTCTCCGTATTTCTTGACGATGGGTGGTGGGATGGGAGAGAGGGTCACCCTGCTTCATCCTCCAAATGCCTTCAAAGGATGCAGTTACTGCGGCACATTTAGTGGGCCTCTGCGAGCCGACCGCAGGTGCTTATTCAGAAATCAGATGCGGGGAGAGTACTGGCGTTGAGGTCATTTAGTGTCCGTCACCAATCAATACGCATTCCAGCAGAATACCTAATGTAGGCTTTATTATGCGCTGAGTTCATTTGTCTGCTGGGCTGGAGAGATCAGGCCTCCTAAAGTGACAGCAGAATGGGTATAACTGCGAGGTAACCAGGTTACTCGGCTTGGGACCGAATCGCTTATAAACGAGCATTACGCAAATTTGGAATATTTTCATATTGTATCAACTTGCGTATCAATTGCCAAGTAAAACGATCTCTTAACAACCCTCTTATGCTGTGTGCCATATTCATTATGCCTGAGTCTTGTAGATATCCTCCGACGGCCCAACGCTGCTTCGCCGTGGCCTTTATTGTGTCCCTGTGTAGGTGTACATGACGGGCCCCCTCCCACGACTCCTCCCAAGTCACATAGAGGTTTCACGGCCAAACCTGACAAAGGCGGCGACGGGATGATCTCCGGCCACGTGCGGCCGGTGCAGAAGGCCTGCAGATCACAGATTCGCCAGTGCGGGAAGGCCTGCAGATCACAGATTCGCCAGTGCGGGAAGGCCTGCAGATCACAGATTCGCCAGTGCGGGAAGGCCTGCAGATCACAGATTCGCTACGTCTGACTGGCGACAGACGTTAGGCTCCGTTTACTTTTTGGGGGAGGAGTGAATGTCTCCCCAGGAAAAGGGTTTTCGCTGACAGTTGCACTTCAATGATGCCTCCTCTGAGTAATTACCCACCCCCCCCCCGATAATTTTTAAGCTCTGCACGCATTGTGCCGCTGGTTGTTACCCTTCAAACGCGAGATGTTTACATTCAGAATGAACAAAGGGCTTGCAGGATGGCTGACGTCCCACTGTTGAGTGGGGACACACTTGCTGCTCCGGTTGGGGGCATTTAACTTTGACACTCTGGCGTAGAACCACACATCCTTTGGGCACCAGAGGAGAGCATTGTTGGTTTTACATGTTCCCTCAAGTACCATTTTGATGATTTAAACAAGGCTGAGGCCTGCCAGGGCAGTCCCAGGTGTATGGAGTGCCAAACTCACAAACATGCATACCCAGGGTATCAGTGTGGGGGGGATCAGGATGGCCTCTGGGGCAGCAGACAGGGGCTTTGGGGGAGGAATCCAGCCACACTACAACAACCCTCCAAGCCCCCCCAAACCCCTGTAGTAGCTCCTTTATCACAGCCCATCCCCTCCCCCCTTCGAAAATGAACCCCCCACCGGGCCAGGAAACTCCATCCCATTGTTTTTCACTTCCTTCATTAGTCCTTGTATCAACAGTTGGGTCCGGTGTGCGTGTGCCACTCTTTCCCCGACCCCCCCAAGCAATGTCCCTGCGACAAGCAGCAGCTACAGACTGGCTGAAAAGTGATACCTGTCCCTATCCTGATTGCGTGACGTTTCACTCATATATGTTTGTCACCCACTGGCACTCGATGAATGGATGACGGTAAGCGAGCGACAGAGCTACTTCAGTAACAATTATGCTGACTGTTTGCAAATGGTGTTTCATTTAAAAAAATGTAGATATTTATCAGAAAGTATTCCACATTTCTCTTTTAAGCAGTTTTTCACGCATTTTGGTTTCATTTCTCAAACGGAAACGCCCAGAGAGCCGACTCACCATCGTCCAGGTACATCTGGTCCAGCTCCTGGGGCTCCTGCTTGATGGTGACCGGCAGCGGCAGGGCGGGAGGGGTGGCGCTGTCGGTCAGCAGAGCAGGAGAGGTCTTCCTGGCCAGCGTGGTGGCGGGTGGGGCGAATGGACCCTCAGGAGCCAGGCCCGGAGTGGAGGGGTGAGATCCTGGAGATGGAGCGGAGGAAACGGGGCTGCCGGCGGAAAAGAGCAGGGGCGGGGTGTAGCCGCGCGGACTGCCTGCCTGCGCCACCGGTAGCAGGGCCGGCACAGCGTGGTCAGGGGACCTTCCAGCCGGAAGGCACCTGGGGTAGGCGGCGGGGGTCAGGTCGTGCAGCGTGGGGCTGGAGCCGGGGGAGGAGGGTGGGATTGCCCCGCCGTGCCTTTGCTGGCAGGCGGGGTAACCTCCCGCCAGGCAGGGGCTGGGGTCGGCATGAATCATGGGGCTTAGGCCTTGCGGCCCATAGTAAGGCCTGGGGGGCAAACCGAGAGCTGGCACCCCCTGGGGCTCGTAGTCATCATTGGGCTCTGTTTTGATCATCGGAGCTGAAATGAAAGGAGAGCATATATTAGAGTGCATTTGTGTACTGATATTCCCTGAAGGAATGCATGTATACTTGTTTGCATTTGTATGGTTGCGGAGGTACGGCTGTTTGTTTATCTTTCTGCATGGGTTTCTGATTGCACATGAGCTCGCGTTTGCCTGTAGGGGGAATGAAGCACCACGTTTGCACTTCATGTGACTGAAGCAGTAGGTCTGTGGCTAAGAAACCCTCATCCAAACAAACATGCTCCTGAATGAAGCTCTGTGTTAGCGGAGTATGCTCTCACCCAGCCCAAACCCCGAAAAAAGAGCAAAAAAAAATGATGAGTCATCACAGCAGAGCCACAGCTGTTTCTAATACTGAAAAAGTTTTCCTTGCATTCTCCTCAGACTCCCATATCTGCTGAAAGAATGCATAACACACACACACACACACACACACACATTATATGTATACACACAGCCCCGCTGCTGTGGATGTCTTAGAGACAGAAGCTGCACAGTTTACATATCGTTCAAAGAAAAACAAAAAGGCTTTGATTATGTTTGAGTCACCCAAAGGAAAAAGGCTTGTCTCACTATTGCCATAAACCTCCCCAGTAGCGTTTCATCCACTTTCAGAGGGAGAAATTCCCCAATGAAATGCCATGAAGAAGACTGGCTAATTTCTAAGCGATCCTGAAGGAGCGCCTCCGTCGTGGTGCCGTGACAGAGATCTGTCCAGGACAGCAATGCCGCACACCACAGGCCAGGCTACATGCTACCGGTGTACCGCCACACCAGCCTTGAAGGCCAAACTGCACAACAAACTGAGAAAGAAGCATATCTGACAGAAGCCTTTCAATCTCAGGCAATGCTGGTTCCATGACATATTTTCATATTGGACAGCTGTTAATCTCAGAGGGCACAACTCAGCGGAGCTTCTTGAAGTTCCTGCCACTGAGCTCTGCAATGCAAGCACATGTCTGGGGTGCAGACGAGGTGGTGACTTTCCGTACGTTTCCTCTCCACATCACTGCTCCTCCAAGCTGATCTGTCGGGTACAAGGCCTGCACTGTGGGGGAGCTTCGGTGTCTCATTAAAGGAGCCCAGGTGAAAGAGAGCCTCTGCCCCCCCCCCCCACCGCGTGCACACACAAACACAGAAAACAAGGGCGGCATTTCATCAATGGTGCCCTAACGGGGGCGGCATGATGAAAGCTGAGGCAACACGCACTCGGTGTTGCAACTTATTTTGGGTGCAGCATGAGAAAGCCTGTATGTCAGCAGATTGAGGATTGGGCGTGTCTTTGGCAGTGGGGGGTGGGGATGTTTGTCTTGTGCAGGGCTTTGATGGGGAGGGGGCTAGGAGCAAGATCACGTCTGTGCAACTGTGCGAGCAGAGCCAGCGACCCCCGCCTTGACTAGCGGGCAGCTCTTGTTTTTGTGGTTTTATCCAAGGGTGACCGGCAGAAGCTCTCTTGGAGCGCAGAGCCGCCGCGAGCTTTTGGAGATTTCCGCTCCTGTTGCAGGCAATAACGCTTCATCTTCCTTTCTGAAAGCACCTAGCCAGCTGAACATGATGGTAATGATTGCGTCCAGAAGTTTCATTTCTCCTGCAACAAGCTAATGTCACTCTGGTTCCTGCAACTGTCACATCTCTCTCTACTGATTCAACAAATTACAGGGAAATACCCCACGCTGAGAGCGTTTTTGGAAAATGTGGGCTTTCTGTCAGAAAAGCTAACTGAACCTTTTTGAAGAGTGCAGCTTATGAATTTTTTTTTCTGTTCCAGGCTAGAAGTAGAAGAGACGCCAAAAGAATGTACATCTATGGCAGGAAATTAAGTAATATATATGATGCATATACTGTATATGTATAGACTGAGTGGCCACATCATTAGGTACGCCTACTAGTAGGATGCAGTTTTACCTGGAGAATTGGAATTGCTTCGAGGGCAGATGAGTTTTGTGTTCTAAGAGGCTTTCTGCACACCACTGTTAAACTAGGCTGTTATTATTGCACTTGTGGCCTTCCTGTCTGCTTTAACAAGTTTGGCCACCTTGTTAATGACCTCTCTCATTAACAAGGTGTTTTCGCCCGCAGAACTTGCTGCTGACTGCATGTTTTTTGTTTATTGCGACACTCGCTGTAAACTCCAGACACCGTTGTGTGAAAATCCCGGGAAGATGGCTGATTCTGAGGTGCTGAAGCCATTACGCCTGCCAGCGACAGCCACGCCGCATCCAAAAGCGCTTAGATCTTTTTAGACCATTTTAAAGCTCAGCCAAAGTGCCTGAACCTTTCCACCCCGTCTCTCTGCTGAATGTATTCAGTTGCAGATACAGGATTTGCTCTTTGCAAGAGCGTTGCTAATGTGCTAATAAGCACATGCACTTCATAAACTGACCGATACATGTATGCAGTGTAAAAATGTCCAAAGTCTATCAGGTCGTTACAGGATACAACTTGCACTCTCTGTCTAAAGAGTTTCAATGGCAAATGATTGCCTTAAATCAAGGCAAGAAGTCTCCAGTAGGCGAATGTCAGGCAAAACACTGAAAGGACATGCTACTATTTAACAGGTAGACAATAAGAGACTGCTCTTCATCTGTAGGCTCCCAGACACTGGCTACACTCTGACACAGCTGGGGGACCCCACCGGGGAGGGGACCCCACCGGGGACGGAGCCATTGACGTCAGTCCCTCCCACTAAGTGGCTCGGGTGTGAGGTAAGGGTGCCGCGTGGGGAGAGATGCCAGGCGTTAGGGGGGTGAAAGCCCTCGCCCGGAGGGAGGCTACCCAGGGGCTGGGGCTGCTCTGCAGACACCCTTGCCCACGACAGGCTCAGACCATTTGTCTGAGACAACAGGGCTAGGAGAATGCAGCATGTTCATGGCACAATCTGAGGGCCACAATGCTCCAGTCTGGAGAAGGCCTTCAAATGCCCTGAAGCTAAATAAAGTGCCTTTATGGGACAGCGCTCCAGCTGTCCTTGTACTCTGATGGTTATGGACAACAGGCAGTTCATAAATCTTTCTTTTGTCCATCTACCATTTAAAAAAGTCAGTAAGTCAGTCCTGGTTCCGATATACTCCACAGGCCGTCCCCTGGGATGTGTTTAATCTGGGAAGGTTTCGTGCAGACGGGCCATCCTCAGCAGCATGCAGTACCTGGATGGCACGGCATCCACAGGGTTTGCGCTACAGAAACCAGCCTCATGATGCAATGTTGCCAGACAGTTACACATGTTGGACTTGTGTATTTTTGACAGAAGGTTGTTGGTTCAAATCCCAAGCGGCTGCTGTTGTACCTTTAAGTGAAAAGCTTCAACAGAATTGCATCAACAACAGCCCATAGTGCAGGAGATATATATATATATATATATATATATATATATATTCATTCAAATGGATTTCTGGTGATGAGTGTGTCTGCTAAACAAATACACATGTGCAATGCTTACTGCACTCTGGACTCATGTTGCCTAAACCAAGTGTTGTTTTTATAAAGTTTGTAGTGACAGGGAGATTTAATACGATAATTTCCATGACAAGGAAGAACGCACATGTCCGCTCAATACTTTAAGCAAATTGAGAAATGATGCTGTGAAGTTTCCTGTGTGTTTTTCAGTCACTTTACATTCATATGAAGAAACTTAAGCAAGGTCTGAAACCGCATCTTTTCTTTTCTACCTTACCAACAACCAGCAGGCAGGAAAATTTGTTCTTAATAACACAAGCTTTCCATCATGAAGTGTCTGGGTTATATGAAGACAATTTCCCATAGCTGGAAATACTGTCATATAGTTGCAAGGAGCAGTAAAAGCTGCCCTTTGAGGCTTGGTGCAGATGAGGGCCACATCCCACGCCGGCATGCGGCTCTGCCTCCTCACCGTCTGGCCCCTGCCGCCGCTCACAGCCAGGAGCGGCATCTGAAGGAAGCCAAGGCCAGCATGGAGCGTAACACCACTCGTGCTGTGAGGTCTCCTCGTGACACCTCCAGCCCCCCAGTGCCCCCCGTGTGATGACCGCCCCAGACATTCTCAGACAAAGAAGCATCATCCCACATGTTTTGATGGCCTCCTCATGCATATACAGTTGCGGTAAATCCTATGTTAAACAAAAGGTGAAAGGGGGAATCTCTCGGCACGACTCCTTACATTTCTCCTCGCGATTCCCGTTCTCTCCTGGCTCCAGACACCTCCCTCTGCTAAAGGAAGAGCTCAGCTGCTTATTAATAGAACTCAGTATTGTCGGGGAATCTTTCAATGACTATAAAAATAAAGCGATTCCGAGAACCGAGTTAGCCAGGCTGCCCCTGATGCCAACAATTTTGGTGGTGTTGTTTTATGTGGTCTGATGTGAACGTGTCCTATTTCCAGGGAGGGAAAAGATGCCACGTCATGGTTGTACTTCTGCAGGCGGAATGGGATGCAGGCATGGAAAGTAATGTGCTGACAAGATGAAGAAATCAAGGTATGGAGCTCAGCCTGTCCTGACGTCTGATCCATAAACTGGGTCCCATATGAAACCTCTGATACTTTAGCCTACAGTGAACAAATGCATGAATGAAGAAATTGCAATGAAAACCAAACACCAACTACTCTAAAATGTGAAGGTTCCAGGAAAGCATTACAAATAAATAGTTTATCAAACAGGGAAATAAGACTTAAAAGGACTCTTTCACTGGTAATCCCAAAGACGAACCGCAGACTCAGAAAAAAATATTTATTTGAAACCTGGAAAAAGAGATTTGCAGCTGAAGTAAGTGAAGTCTCATCTGAAATTGACACGAGACAAAATGTAGGCATGGCAGGCTGCAGGTTACTGATGCTGACACGTCAAGTAACACAGCTAGAGATAAGAGTGTGGGAATCGAACACTGCGGTCAAGGACAAACTGCTAGGTTGACTTCAGCAACACTAATGCTGCAAGCAGAAGGCTGCGTTTAAGGTGACTGTAACAGACTGGAGTTGCGTTTCATATTCAGGTTTAACACTGGGATATGTACATGTGAACAGTGTTACTGAATTCTGGGTTATGATGGAAAGTACAAAATGTTTACTGTCTGGAGTGGAGTGGCTGCGTGCCCTTCCGCTTCCTTAAAGCGTTATTTATAGTGCTGGTTGGCTTTTTATAGCCGGTGAATGTGTCAGCGTGTAAATGCGACAGAGATGCTCGTTTAAAATATCCCCACCGCAAACTGTTTCTGAAGTGGCCAGGAGATGCAGTGGGAAATATTTAGGTGGGTGTGGGGGGAAAAGATCCTCAGTAACTGCAGTAACACTGAATTCATCATTTTTGTTTGTTAAGCACCCCATGAAATCCCACATACCCCCACATACCCCCCCAAATCTGTTTGCCATGCACTTATTGCTGACCTTATCTCATCCACTTACTCGGCAACTAAATAGCCTATTGGCCAATGAAATGGATCCCTACTGCTACCAGTTATGGGAAAAGACTTAGCATTAAAACTGTATGTAACTTCCACACCTCAGCCAGTGTTTGGTGCTGGATTCAGGTCAAAGATTTCATGGGCTATTAGGGCAACAAGCACCAGTTAGGGCTTGACCCTGAGTCAGAGACCCAGTTCACTGAGTACAAGGCCACCTGCTTGCCTACTTGTGTGCTTTTGGGGGGGGGGCTGATAGGACTGGGCTGGTCCCGCTCATTTCCTGCAAAGATGAGCCGCAAGCCGAACCACAGGAAAACACCTTTTTATAGTGCTAAGGTTTTTATTCCAAAACAATGCTATCATAACAAATGCTAAATACTGGCCTGGGCCAAGCCCCAGTCCCGGGTCACGGGTCACATGGGCACTACGTCGGTGGCAGTTTCCTCTTGTTTTCACCTTCTGGATTTGATTGCATCCAGCACTGCTACCAGCAACGCCCACCTCCGATGCAGAGCGACAGACACGTCAGTAACTGGGCCAATCGACGCCTCTGAGTCCAAGGGTGCAAACCTCATGTGGCGGACGGGCGGGCCGCGGTGTTTCACATAAGTAACGTTCCCCTATTTGTGGAAGGCCTTCTGAGGTCACTGCCATTTAGTGTCACCATAATGTTAATCGCTCTTTACATGCGTGACAGGAAGTGGAAAAGCGGCCATCAGCGCCACCGCAGCTGCTGTCCCGTCTGGCAGCTGAAGACGGCAGGCGTATGAAAGTGAACGAGAAACAGGGCGCGTTGCGGTATGACAGTGAACGCGGCGCACAAGTCAGCCTTTCTCGTCGGCACTGACTGTCCATAACTGGGTAAATCTGAGCAGAGTCAAAAAACGCTGCAACATACAGGCAGACAACACAAAGAACAGAGCTGCACTCGGGCGTAAAGAATAGTGTGTGACTTTCTGGGGATGAATATACCTGCTAGAGAACTGAAAGTGTTGATACAGGTGCATGTTTTTTGGTTAAGTCAGGGGGGTTTAAAAAATTTGTTACACCATGGTGACTGGCCAGAGAGGACAGGTCAGGGGACTATGGTGGGGATCAGCCATGATGGGGAGGGGGCTTCCTCTGGGGGGGCCAGGGCTTGGGGCCCTCCTACCCCCATCATACTCAAGGGAGGGAGGATACAGGTGCTGAGTGAGAGGGCACCGGCACACCCTGTCCTGACCCCCACCCCCGGGACATTCTAATGCAGGATGACGCACGTGGACTATGATACCGCCATATTTATTTGGCCCTGGGAGGGATTAGGAGTCACCTCCAACACAGCAGCAATTAACAATGTTGTCCAATCATGGAGCAGTTTCTGCCTTAGCCAGACATAATTTGAAATACAATTACAGATGAATGAAATAAGTAGCAGATTTATGGTACTTGGCTACAAATCACATTTACCTCTCTATTTAATTTAGAACAAACTCCTAATTTCCATCATAAAGAAAAAAAAACACAAAATACGTTTTTTTTGCCATTTTGTATGAATTGGCCAATGCTAAGGACAGATACTGAAGGGAATGGGACAGTGGTCCTCAGTGCTTTCTGTGCTGCTGTGCACACAACATCTACACAACATCCACACAACATCTACAAAGCTGTCACAGCTCAGTGCAGTGATGTACCCTCAGTTTGGTTTCGTTACAGACAAAGTACTCATAATTTACAACATTAGGTAATACTAATTACACCAATCAAGAATGCAAAAGGTTAGTTACTTTGAGTGTAGGTAAAAACCAAATGAATGACTGAATGATGAAAGACAGCGAAGAGCAGCATATGTGCTGGATTCTGATGACTTTTAAATAGCTCTTCCCTACATAAAGGACTCCCATGTTCCTGCATGTAGAAGCAAGTGTTTCATTTTCTTAACATCTATTTTTAGAAGTGTTGCGGCCAGGCACAGCGCTTGCCTGCACGGCCGCATGTCAACGCTGGAATGACAGGCAAAGTCAGATCCAGGCTAAATGTGTGGCCAAACACCTCCTGCATGTGATGCAACTGACAGCAAAGATCAATGCGATTTGGATAAATCCAGCACGGGACCAAGCCCAAAAAGAAAGAAAGGGAAAATCAAGGCAATCCAACGTGAGGATTTCATTCTGTCAGGGTGACTGGAACATGCCTTAACTGCACCCTAAAAGCAGGCAGCACGGAGTGTTTAGAGTGTTGACATGAAGAATGTATCGGTGGCCTATATGTAAAGGCCACTGTGCTGTCACCAGTGGAATCCCCCTCTGAGTAAACGGAGGTGTTAGAAAGATACTAGGTTTGAAATTTGGGAGGCGGGTGAGAAGATGAAATATTTGGAAAATACAGGAAATACTGTAGGTCTGGTCTGAATGGTGAGAGGGCAAGGAGATGATATATAAGGTGAAAATGTGATATGACCAAAATACAGGAAATACTGTAGGTCTGGTCTGAATGGTGAGAGGGCAAGGAGATGATATATAAGGTGAAAATGTGATATGACCTCTGGTGAGCTACAAGACATTTTATAAGAAGCCAAGGGGGGCCTACCGTTGGGGGGCAGGTATGTGAAACGTTGGTACTGGCTCCTCTTCCTCTTGCCATTGCAAACATAGAAGTTGACCTGGCTGGGGCTGGATATCCTCTGGTTGTGGTAAGGTGGGATCTCCACCACCAGCGTTGTCTGTAGAACACACACACACAGATTAAGAACGGGCTGCCAAACAGTTATAGGTGTATGTGTCCATGGTATGGAAGAGCCACTTAAAGCTATAGCCCTGCTATTCAGACTTCTTTCTGTATACATTCTTCCTAGGGCACCTCTGTCTGCATGTTAATTATGTTAACACAGTTATGTACCCTCTTAGAAGACCATTGATTTAGATCGTTATTGGATTGAGAGTAGGTTGGGGGTAGGTCCAGGACAGCCTGCTCTGAACACGGCCCGTCTGGGCAATCCCAGCCACCCCGACTTCAGTTCTCCAGACGAGCGTGAACTTTTGCCTGCTTCTACAGACCATGGAAACAGACTGCACCGTGAAGCCCCCCTCCCCCCCCCCCCCCATGATTCCCGAAGCCTGCATGATGTAACGGTTACCCAATCCCCTACCCCCACCACAGGCAGCTGTCTGCAGATGATGAAGGAGGTGGAGATACAGAGGAAGTTACTTATCGTCGCCTGACAAGCCGTAGCGGGCACCTTAGGGTGTCCCGCAGGCTGTCGCAGGGTCATATCTACAGGTGGGAATTCCTTCAGCTTTCATTGAGAGTAGGACATTAGAAAAACTATGAATTTGTAGGTGTGGCAATAAGCTAAGTGAGCGGGAGTGAACTTTTCTGCTCTGAACCCCAACTGAATGAGACATCTCAGCACTCTGTCACCTGTTTTTCCAGGACCTGGGATGCTCGCTATATTACACAACTTTGGTTGCCAGTTAGTGTTAGCAAAATGCTCTTAAGCGCCGTGACGCAATGACATAGGTCACCTGCACGGGAACCAACAACAGTGACAATAGAGCCTGCAGGATCTAACCAAGCTAAGGTCATTTTAGGCACATAAGACAGAGATCCCCGCGGGTGGGAATGGACACAGCTGGCTTCAAGAAGGCAGGACAGAAAAAAAAAAAATCCCTTAGCGCTGATTACAGGAACAGTGCAGTGTGGTGTCTTTGTAGACGATGTACAGTAAACACATTTGCTCTCATTCATGTTTCACCGCCTCTGTAACAGCAGGCATTCCCCACATTGCAAGGAGGGACCCGTCTCCTCAACACTATGTGGCAGAGGTGGAAAGTCCATGTTCAGAAAGTACAAATCCAGACCAAGGTTTTGTTTCAACCAACCAGTTGAGCATAAAGAGTCACAGTCACAGAGTACTGTACTGGTTGGTTGAAACAAACTCTTGGCCTGGATTTGTACTTTCTGGACCTGAACTTTCCACCTCTGCTATGTGGAATGAGGGTTTTTTTAGTCACACACAGAACTAAAACAGCCCTGGGAATGTGTGTATTCCAGCCATCCAGCCCTCAGAAAGGACGCCCAGCGTGACTTATGTGCTTCAGAGATGTTTCATGCGTGACTAACTCACTGAGCAACACTGCCAGTCATTTTCTCATTACAGCAGCAGGTGAGGTGACGACTGATGCCGTCTTTGCCCAGTCTCTGTTATCGGCTGATTTAACTGATGACCTCCAATTAAGCAAGACCACAGAAAGAGGCCGGAACTCCTCTGCTGCTATTCTGGGTTAGGGTTAGGGTTAGGGTTATCTGAATCCAGCTCAAGACCTTGATATAATTCGCCCACCTATCTGCTGTGTGGTGTGTCATCAGGGGTTACATCAGAGTTTGAGAAGATCCCAATCAGAGCAGCTGAGTTCTGTCCTCCAGTGTAAAAGAAGAATGACTAGGACCTGCTATTATTCTGGACAGACAAGGATTATTCGTATGAGGCCAGATGCCAGATTAGACAGAGAGCAGGAGCTTCAACAGTAGGGAGGATGTAACTTTCAGCATTTAACACTAGGGGTCCCGCTCTCTTTCAGACCATCAGGACAGTAGATAAACCGCAGGTCAAGAGGCCTAGTTATTACTCCAACCTATTCCTATCCCAATCTGTCGCTAATTATCCATACTATTTATACCAATGCAAGCAACACAACATGCGGAATCTTCAAAGGTCCTTTGCAGCATGTGACCATCAATTCCTACCGTCAACAAACTCTTCCTTCCACACTAACTGCTCAAAACGACGCTTCCCACTCATCTAAAAGAACAGTTTAAGGCCTTCTGTGAAAATAACTCTTGAGTTTATGAAAGCCGCTGCAAAAACACATATTTTTAATACATTTTTAATGTTAAGGTTTCACGTCGCCGCACCACATTATGCTCTCAGTTAACCGATCAATACGTGTAAAAAGTATTTACATGTGTCAAACTTACTGCCTTCAAGGACTCCTTCTCAACCTTGGCTTCAGTCTCCCAAATATGGTGACCATCTAAAGAAGTAGGAAAGAACAGAGAATTGTGAAAATAATATTAGTGATTGTTAAAATATCACTACAGAACAAAAGGCAGACCATACCACGGTGCGGCAGTCAACATTAAGTAACCAGAGCCTTGAGAAAATGCTATATAGCACACACACACACACACACACACACGTGCACCGGTTTGTAATTATATCTTTGTGGGGACTCTCCATTCATTTCTATGGGGACATGATGACCTTAACCCCTACCCAGCCCTGACCTTAACCATAAGTAACCAAACAAAATATTAGAGTTTTGCCAGCCTTTGATTTTTGATAACATTCACTTGAAAAATTGTCCTCACAATGTCGAAATAACAGGTATTTTATTACATTGTGGGGGACATTTGGTCCCCACAAAGTAATGTAAACATAATCCACACACACAAGCACACACACACACACACACACACACACAAATACACAGCACAGACCTGTACTCATACCTTTTTGGGGACTATCCATTCATTTCTATGGGCATAACCCTAATCCCAGCATGACAACCTTAATCCCTACCCAGCCCTAACCTTAACCATAAATAACCAAACAAAATATAAGACTCCTGACATTTTTAGTTTTTTTATTGCAGTCACAGACTTCTATAAAATGGAATTTCCCCTTGGTGGTCGTAAAAATGGTCCCCACAACTTCAACAAAACAGGATGTTATCACATTGTGGTGTCATTCAGTCCCCACAATGTATACCTGGACCACACACACACACACATACAGTGTGTGTGTGTGTGTGTGTGTTTATATATATATAAATTATATATATATAATTTATTTTTTCTACGCACACATACAGAGAGAGGCACATACAGGACCCGCATCTGGAAGCCATCTGGAAGTATCTCTGATATCCAAAGCAGCTCAAGAAAGCTATTAGATCTGACTACAAGAATCCTCTTCATCTTGCACTTTGCATTGTGTGGCTGGGACTGCACTGCAGGGAAGGGTGAGACCAGCCCCATCAGGTAATTATACCCCGAAAACCTGCTTCTCTAACAGCTCGCCACCCACCACCCCACACAGATGCATACACAGAAGTGTTAGACCACTGAGATTGTGAGGTGACTGAAGCCCCTCTTTGGAAAGTGGGGCATGGCAATCATCTGCAGCACAAAAACCATGCGGTGACCTTCCTTCCTGTCAGGTCCCACCCGCTTGGGTCCGACAGGCAAGCACCCTTACATCACATTCCCAGCACAGGCCACGTTTGTGGAAAGACAAGGTCGGCAGGCTTGTAAAAAGGGCGTGATAAAAACGTCCTGTCCAGTAAAAAACCAGAGCTGCGTGACTGGAAAGTGACATCTCGCGTGTGCCGTCTCAGAAGTCGCTACCTTTTAAAATGACGCGGCACCCCTTTTGCCATCCTCGTTAAAACCTAGACCGCTCTTTCCTCGGCACTGTAAACGCTCTCTCCTTTTTCATCTCCGACTTGTCGCATCGCAAAGCTCTTCCTGCCGTCCAATAAAACACAAGCAGCGCCAGCTGGAGGCGGGGCACAGCACACGCGATCCGGCATCCCAGTGACTCCACACCACGCTTCTCAGAAAGGACATTTTTAGCTCTGTTGAAGCAATTGTTGCAAAACCACAGCAAATTATTTTCTCAGTCTCTGTGTGCCAGGGATTCATTAGTGCTGTCTGAAGCCTAAACGACGGGGTACAGTTAAGTCTCCGTGGCTGTAGCCCCCATGCTACTACACAGCACATTCCCAGAGATATTTGGACACATAGTAGCTTCACAAGCACCACCGCTATTAAACAAGGATCAATAATTCCTGATGTGTTGATTCTGTATTTTTCATCTGAGTATTTTGCCTGCCATTGCAATACCGTCTGTACAGCTTCATCTTCTCACTTTCCCATGGTACTTAAGTAATTAGGTTCACTCTACTCCTTTGAAGGTTGGAATCTTCTGATGGAAGATAGAAATGGGCATAGATACGCTTTGCGAAGCCATTCAAATAGGACTGGGAGTTCTGGGAATTACACACAGCAACACAGGTCCCTGGTATTAAAGCTGACTAACTGTCCGCGTCTAAAGCACATCTGTAACACTACCAGAAAAGGATTCCACCAATAAATGTAAAGTTACAATTTTATAGGACTGTGGTTTTCATATCAATGAGTAAAAGTGGGACTAGAGCGTGTAAAGGGGTGGGGTGGGCGGGCAGGCGGGGGTTAGTTTGAGGGGAGCAGATGGCTAAGCGATTAGAGAGGGAAGAGGAGAGGAAGGCCGGGCCTGGCGCAGCCCCGCAGAGCCGCATTGGGTCCTGAGCCGATGACAAGAGCCGGCGGGCGACTCTGGGGGGTGGGGGGCCGCGGCAGCACGGCGCACGACTCCTCACGTTTCGTCTGGAGGGCCATGGGGGAATCTGAACGCCCCCGCACTGGGAGCCTCTCCAAGAGGGAAACCTTAGACTGCGACGTCAGCCCTCCGTGAGTAAACATGTTTTTCAGGCTCTCTCTGTTCACCCCCCCCCCCTCCCCACCCCCCGGAAATTAATAAAATACACAGGTACATCAAAGGAGCCTGAGATAAGCAATTTGCAAGCTCTTTCTCTCTAGTAATTCTGCAGTATTTGGGGGGATTAAATTCACATGCAGACATAAGCAGAGGTTTTTCGCTTGTACCTGACTTGGTGTATATAGCTTATGGGATGTCACACTGGCTCCCTGTCATACCTTAACAATGGTACAAATGCACAGCCCATTTACCTGCCCAGGTGCCCCCCCTGGCACACATGCCAACAGCACCAACTAGCTGTACAACGCCAGGCCTCATCCCTGGGATCCTGGCCCTGCAGTACTACAGTTCGCCGCACTGGCTAAATGTTACTTGTCACTTTTCACCCCCATATCACATGCTGGTGACTCTGAGCTGCATCACCACACTGACCTTGCATCTAGACGGCACTCAGAAACACGAAGGGTACAGTTTGATACTAGTCAGCCTTCAAACCTGCCTTGACCTGCGTCTCGGTGCTGCGCCTCACTGCTGCGTCCTTACAAAAGACACTGGAAGGTGACACTGCATAGATCCAGCAATATCATTATGAAGTAAATTTATGTAAATGAATGCCTATACAGGAGCATCAAGTCCTTGATAAATGTCCTGTTGTGAAGTCAGTATTTATGCTCTATAAAACCATTCATTTCAGGTTCAGGTTTATTGCTGTTCAAGGTCATGACTAATATTACAGCATTAAAACACTGGAAAGGCTATGAGGACCTATGAGGGTTGGAAACACCCCAGTCTGTTGGTTGGGGGGTGGCTTAGGGGGAGGGACCAACAGAGACTGAACCAATCAAAAAATTTACATTTTTGTATTGTGAGAATGGAAAATGTGACTCATATGTTGAAACCAGAAGCACTTATGAGAATCAACTTTATTTTCCATTTTCTTTTCTTACTATCTATTTGTTTATTTGTGTTGTGAGCCCGACTGCAGCCTGGCTCTGTTCGAGAAGGATAATCTCTTGGTGCTAAAGCTGGAATCCACAGCAGACAAAACTGCCGGCCAAGAACAATCTCCACGTCTGGGTTTGCCTCTGTCCTGACAAGACACCTAGTTTGCCTGTACTATTGGCAATAAGAGTCGAATAGGGGAGCACCCCAAGTAATGTGGTGGGGCAGAGAAGGGTTCTGGGTGGCGATGGGGAAGCACTGTCTGCAGGTCTACTGGCAGGGGGGCAGCAGTGTCCACCATGGACTCAGCGGCACACCAGAAGCCCAGGCACTCGTCCAGCCAAGGCCAGATGTGAAAGTGATCCCACTCATGAGGGAATTCCCTCCCAGTCTGAGCTCGGGCGAAAGGCTTCCCCAGCGGCCCCTCCCCCCTCCCCACCGTCTTCACCCCCGCATGACAGGGAACAGGCTAGGCGAGATGCGCCGGTACGGCTGCTGGATTACAGCCAAGGCGGGGATGGGAGGTAGCGAAGGGCTCAAAGCCATTAAGAAAGCAGCAAACAGAGCCTGCTGGAGAAAGTGGAGGTAGCAGAAAGCAGCACTTTTCCATTCTAATACTTTCTCCCACTATCACCCAGAACAATTCAAGCATGGCTTTATAATCTTATACTCCTACACACATCTCTGTCCTATGACCAAAAACACACTTATAATTTCCTTGATGATTGTTGGATTAGAGAAGATTTAAACTAGAACAGCCATTTTTTTTTCCACGACATTTACTTCACTGCTCACACCTAAAATTAACTGATTGTACGTTAGGACACAAATGTGTCACACTGGGTTTCCTTTAATGGGAGGCGACACTGGCTCTGAGGGACCTGTCTCCAGAATTCCCTTCAGGGAGAGCCACAGGAAAGGCACATGCTCAGCACACAAACAGGCCCGCAGGCAACACCTTCTCTCTGGCCTACAGACATAGGCACACGAATATATGCGTGCATGAACACACGTGTAACACAAACTGACTCTCAGACAGGCTCTGTCTAGTACGTGCATGAAGACACGCACACGCACACACACACACACGCACACAGCACAGACCTGAACTCATTTCTTTGTGAGGACTGGCCATTCATTTTAAAGGGCAGAACCCTAATCCCAGCAATGACAACCTGAACCTTTACCCAGCCCTAAACTTAACAATAAGTGACTAAATAAAATACAAGCTTATTCAGAATTTTGTTTTATGATTGCAGTCGTAGATTTTTATAAAATTGCATTTCCCCTTGTGGGGATTGAATAGATGGCCCCCACACACAGACACACACACACATACACACATGTAGGGTAAACATATCCTTATGGGGACTGCTCATTCATTTCAATGGGAAAAATGCTAACGCTAACTATGACAACCTTAACCCCTACCCTGCCCTAACCATAACCATAAGTAACCTAACAAAATACAAGAGTTTTTGCATTTTTAGTTTTTTCATAGCAGTCACCGATTTTTATAAAATAGAGTTTTCCCTTATGGGGACCAGGAAACCGGTAATGTCCCCATAAGGATAGGTAAACCCGCTCACATACACAGGCATACACACACACACACACATACACACAGACACACTCTTACACCCTAACAGAATGAGAATGATGTTCACACAGAGGCACACAAATAAGAATACATAATAAAGTCAGTTATGTTTATGATCAGTGGATCCTGGTCTGTTGCCACTATGAAATCCTCCTGCATTCTCCATCAGCAAGTCAAGCAATACTACCTCGAGAGAGAGAGAGGGGGAGAGAGAGAGAGAGAGAGAGAGGGAGAGAGAGCGGGAACGCCCCTCCCCCAACACCACTCTGCTCAGACTAACACCAGCCCATCATACCTGACCACAGATATTCGCCCCCAATATCCCTTCTCCCCTCCATCAATCTTCTCTGCTTTCCACCATCAAATATATTTCTTTTTCCAGAAGGATCTGAACTGGACTCCTAATTGTGGGCAAATCCGATACGGGTGGCTCAGCGTGCCCCACAAGGCGTCACATTAAATTCATTCTGCTAGCACTCCTGTGGTAGGAGGGAGCCCAGCTACACAGTGGTGCCCTGCTTTGGACAGTGTCAGACTGAAGACGATCAGCACCCCAGCCAGGCAAAGGGGCAGCTTCAGAGAATGAATTCTCCACAATACTGAAAAAATCCATCTGGATTAGTTAGACAAAAATTTGTTACTTGTTTGCTACTTGTGTCGCCATGTTTGTCAAGATCAATGTCAATTAAGTGTTTGTTTCATGGACTAATACTTGATGTGGACAATCCCCCCCCCCAGTACTGGGAATGATGTACTGCAGGGGAGTCTGTTGCTGCTTAAAAATCCTGCAGTCTTGCGGACGTGTTTATTGGAATACATCTTGGAAAATTAGACTGCCTGACCCTTGATTACAGAACTAGGCACGGCAAACCATTCTGCTACAGCCCACAATTAGTGGGCTATTCTGCAAAATGGCATGTTTTATTGGGCTTATTCAAGAAGTTTCCAGGGCAATAGAATTGCAGATTTATGAAATAAAACTTTATTTTATAACAATTAATTTTACCGTTTCACTCATATACTGTAGCATACAGAATACAAGCTCAGTACCTGGGGGCTTTGGAAAGAATTTCAGTATATAATAGAAAAACACAAGCACAAACATAATCTTTATAAAGAATACATCAATAATGCTGGACAGACATGTTGTAATTACAATGGACAACCATTTTTTTTTCAAAAGATTAGCTTCCGAAAAAGGGGACATTATGATAGGTAATTTGAACACAAAAAATTGTGTGAATACAAAAATGATTTCAGATTTGTTGTATCGCATAGGAACTTGGAGAAACGTTAACTTGTATAGAATTTCATTTAGCATGTTTACTTGCATAATGATGCTGACACACTGTATCAGTGCAGTGTTTCCCAACCTGGTCCTCAGGGACCCCCAAACAGGCCACATTTATGCTGCCCTGATACCGCTTATCCAGGGTCGCACTGATCAGCGTCAGCTGCCCTGATACCGCTTATCCAGGGTCGCACTGATCAGCGTCAGCTGCCCTGATACTGCTTATCCAAGGTCACAAGGCCCTAGTAAAACCTGCCGCCATATTTATCACTGACCGCACCAAGATCAGCAGGGAGGAAATACCTGAGCAGGTCCTTTAATTCTGGCTGTGTTATCAGATAAAGATGACCAGACATAAACTGTTCAGCATCTGGATTGGTGTTGTTTTTCACATCTGGCTCATGCATTGTTGCATCTTTGTCTCCCTCATCCATGCTCCATGTCTCTGGTGGCTTCCATACTGGCAAACTATCATCATGCGGCACTGGCCTCATGGCTGAATGCGGACTGGGGTATTCAAAAGATTTAATGCTTTTAGCAGAGAAGCCAGATACATTGGTCAGACAGAAGTAACAGTCGGTCACATGAGCCTCTGCTCGCCATATCACCGGGACTGCAAATGGCATTGACTTCCAAGTACTTCTGAGCAGTGATTGGGTCGTAAAAATATTACAAGGGGGATGATGGGGCAATTTTTTTTTGGGAGTGGGGTGGGGGGGTCCTCATTGGGGCGGGAGTGGGGGGGTATCCCTGATGCTATAATTAGCTGAGCAGTTGAGTAGCCCTGATATAGTCAGTAGATTTACCTTTGAACTGATTTTATAGCCTGTCTACCAGCATCTTCCCTGACTCAGTTTGCCAAGGCATGTGTAAGACAACATTTGCGTAGCACCTGCACAGAGTGCATACCCAGGCGTGCCTGGACTGACCAAAACAACTTGGTGGGTAATATACTACTATACAGAACATAAAAAATAGAAAAAAATAGGTTATATCTATTAAATGGTACACGATAGGAAAAAAACGTGATTTTTGTGATCAGCAACCCACAATTGTTCAAGACGCGAAATCTTCGCTGTTCAGTATTAATTCAGAAAGAATAGCGGCAAAACAAGTTGCGTATTTTTATAACCGAAGAAGAGCACTGGTTTATGAAGCTTTGTCAGACAGGAGGGGGGTGGCGTGGATGGGTGAGAAATATGGAGCAAATACTGCATGTCCGGTACCACGAGGGCTGTCAGTTTGCTGTGAAGGCAAACCAGCCTCAAGAATTTCAATGGCAAGAAACACTGAATGTGCATGGCTGACTTTATTGGTCTAGTGGGTAACAGTGTTAGCCAGAGGAGATATGGAAAAGACCAGCAAGGGGATCACAGGAGAGGGTGGAGGACAAAGCGGGCACTGGGTGGGGCTCCTCTCATGGGGATTTTATCTCAGTATGTGCGAGCTAACAGCGAGTATGGCTCCACTCCAGGTCCCAGTGAGTTAATGAGGCAGTCGCAGCTTGTTGAAGGCCTTCAACACTGGGGCTAACCAGTCAGAATGTCAAGATGCAGAGATCTTTCTAGGGTTCCTTACGGGGCAACATGTGGTGGAAAATTCAAGCTGTGTGTTGTATATTTAAGGGGCATTTCCATGGCAGAATCAGTGTGGAATCTAAGGCCGGTAGCAAGCTCAGGGAAGCCCTCTGGAAAAACAGCAGTGCACACAACCCAAGACTGATGTTAGGAATATCCTGGGAGCATTATCCAGCTGGTTTATTCCACCACAACTTGGCATGAATACATGCTTCAAAGAGGCATTTGGGCTGGCCTCTGTTACATGGATTCCTAATTGTTTCCAATTTTTTAATGCTGTGTAAAACAAACCATAGTACTGTTTGAAATATGTGGCCCGGGTGACTGTTATCCCTCCCCGGTCCCAGGCTGTCCAAGAGTCTCCCTTAAAGTCATGGAAATGTGAAACGCTTTGGTTAAGCGTGAAGGTTTCGTTTCCACCAATCTGGGGAAGCCAGACTGTTTTTCCAGCTTGTCCAATCTGCACTGCTGCACCATGAACAGCACACACACACACACACACACACACACACACACAGAATCTATGTATTCATATCTTCGTGGGGACACTCCATTCAGTTCCATGGGCATAACCCGAATTCCAACTATGCCCTATTAACCTTAACCCCATACCCAGCCCTAACCATAACATGAAGAAACCAAACAAAATACAAGACTCAAGTGTTTTGAGTGCATTCAAAGATTTTTTATAAAACTGAGGTATCCTTATGTGGACCGAAAAAATGTCCCCACAAGGTCAAAAGTTACAGATTTTTATCATATTGTGCGGAAATCTGGTCCCCACATTGTAATAATTAGAAAAACACAGAGCGACAGATGACAGCAAATTGTAATGAGGGACACAGTGGACTTTTGAATCAAATGAAAATCCAAAAATAAGGAATACCCAGAGAGGCACTGCACACTTTTCCTCTGTACTCCTACCATGTACTGAGGAAATTTGCTACACTGACTCCTAACCTGAAATGTCTTGAAAATCTCATGGCAGAAAACTAAATATACTAGGATTAAGAAAGCCATCTGCTAAAGCAAAAATAACCCCTGAAACCTTGCATTAGTTGTCTTTGTGTGCTGGGTTTCTGACTATTGTCCTATATTTGTGAACAATGTTTGGCACACAGTCACTTGTGCTATGACATCTAATTATCCTTAACATGGACATAAGCCAATTTGTCATAAATCTAAAGATTTGCTGCAGAACATCATTTCCGAGTCTCAATCAGAATTAACTCAATTGAGTTGTCTGACTCAGACAGAATCGTATGGTGCTAAATGACTGGGAGTAACGAGAATATGGTGGAAGAATATTTAAAAAATGGAGACTCATTCTGACCACAATGCAACATGTTGTGCGGAAAACCGGATGCTCAGATCTCATTGGTTTGGGTCACTGGTTAACATACCCCTTTCTCTGCTCTAGCAGAAACGCTTCCCTGGGTTAGCCCCTTGCAGGAGTTATGTATTCACAGGTGGAAAGATTTACTGCCTTCCCTTTCCTTTGAGAAAAATAATAAGAAAAAGGAAAAACAAAAAAATACCCGAGAGCGCAGAGAGCCATTGTCACGTGCCTACACATCGCAGCCTTGGCCTTTGCCTCACGCTGCCGCTCTAGAACTAATCAAGGAAATTGCTATTTGTAAACTTCTAACATCAGTCATTTTGGATCGGTCAACATCTCCTTCCTATCCAGAGGGAAATGAAGGGTGAAAAAAAGAAGAAGAAAAAAAGTCCAAACAAATGTTCCAGCTCAAGAGAAACTGCACATGCCCTGTTTGTGATTCATTCCTCAGCTTGTGGCAAGCGTCAGCGAACAGGCAATGGAAACTCTGCAAATGTAAATACGTTTGGTTAAAAATATAGTGCCTTAATGCGCACCACATGTGCCTCGCTGGCTGGATGGGGAATATTTTGACGGTGAAGAGAGTGAGAGAGAGACAGTGAGTGCACACAGAAAGACTGGAGACACACGACTGAAGGAGCGCCACAGCAGCGGAGGTCGTCCTAGGCTAAGGGTCTACCTTGGGCCTTTTCCAGGAACAGCACCTTGGAGTCCGGCAGGAAGTTGTGTCCGCTTAGAAGCATCTTCTTGCCCCCAGTGGCCACGCAGCTGTCCACGTTCTGCTTCTCCACAAGCGGCAGCTCCTGGGCCGACCTCTGGGCTGCATGGATGTGGGGGTGGGACACTTCCTCAGTGCTCTGTGGTTCAGAACCGGCTCCCCATTCGCCCCCGTGCCTCCAGGCCACATGAACCATACATCTGGAAAGATCCCTCCCCCAACTGCCATCTTTCCTTTCTCTTTGAAAGACAGCAATGCTTTTTAATTTGAAACACTGTTCATAAAGTAGTGATTTATGGTAAATGTTTATTACAATCCAAAGTAAATGAGAAGAATGTACTGATACTAATCACCTCTAGTGCACTTTTCTAAAGAACTATCCACAAAACGCTAAACTGCAATGTGATGAGATTACTTTCAAGATCATGCTGATTAAAGCCTTCTCAGTGGAAAATATTTGTGGAAGTTTATCGTTAGCTAATAACCCGCTTTTTTGTTCCTTCACGGAGCAAAATGGGGGTGCACATTTTTGGTGTTTCAACCTCAGTCCTTCCTCTTATTTGTCACAAGGTAAAACATAAATTCACTTTGTACCCATAAATCAAATGCACTCTCTCATTCGATGAGAAACTAAAAATGGCCAGAAAGCCTCAGACAGTAGGAAGCCCACTGGCATGATCCAAATGCGTGACTTGGACCTCTAAAGCAAAGCTGCCCCTGTCCCATATGTCAGCAGAGGTTATGCTGCTTTAAATCAAGAGCATCAACAACTCCTGCACGCTGGCGCTCACTCCGATGGATTTCTCTGGCCTAACCAATCAGGTTCCTAGTCTCGTTTTTATATCTGTTACTCTGTGATTGAAGGAAAAAAAATGGCTGCAGTCAATACCGGTACTTCACAATGTCATTTAGGAGAATCCTAAATGATCCTTAAATAGCGGCTCTAGTTAAGAGTAAGCGTGACTCTCTTTCTGGCCCTGCACATAAACTTCACACGTAGGCAAGGGCAAGATGCATGTTGCTATATGAAGGCTGTACAGAAGAAAACACTGCTTGGAGTGCGCTTCTGCAGTTGTGTATTTATTCCAGAAGCTGTTACTTTTATGGAAACGTGTATCGTGTCCCACATAAGTAATACGGTTAACCGGTAGTAGCAAGTACGATATTAAGCAAACATGGTATTTTATCTCCCCAGTCATATATCTGGGTATACAAATGGGGAAAACTCATTCCTTGTGTAAAAACATCAGCTAGGCACAGAAATAATGATATTATCAGAATAAATCTTCTGCTGTTCGGCACGGCGCACTCACAGCACTCGATGGGATTGGAAGCCGCCTGCAGCGACACGGTGCGGCCGCTGGCCTGCTCGATGTGCACCCGGAAGACCATCCTCACGCGCGTGTTCTTGCGCCCGATGTCCGTCTCGCCCTTCCGCAGCTCGATGTCGGAGTTGCGCAGTTTAAGGATCCCTGCGCAGTCGATTCTGCCGCACAGATTCAGGGAGCCCATTAAGGCTGTACACAATGCCAATGAAAGTAACCAGCACATCTTCAAAAATGTGCATAAAAAAAAGAGCAAGTGGACATTATGCACATTTCACATGTCTTGTGAAAAGAGGCCAGGCGTTTCCTGTAGACCTCTGTATTTCAGGGTTTCTGACCTAGTTAATTCACTTGGTCCATATTAAAGTCAAATCAAAACTATTAAGCAGGTATTCGGGGGCAGTCCAGTGCAAAACCCGCGTAGGCACATGGTGAATTCCCCTATCAGGGAATACCCAAGCAAGGACATTACACTGTGCATTAATGCTTCTACCTCAGCCTGAATTCAAAAAGTAGGTTTAACTGTCAATGAGGCTTTTCCTTAACATGGAAAAACTTCACCTTACAGATGCTAAGCTGCCTCTTACAAATTACTCACAGCTATACCAAGCTTCATAAAGTGTTCTAGAAAGGAAAGACATTTCCCTGGTGTAGTGATATGTACAGACCTGGTGCCAGCCACACTGGCAGCTCTGGCTTTGAGGGATATAGGTTCTATCCAAATCTTTCTGAAAATGTTGCTTTTGTAATTAATTACTTGATACTTAAGTTCTAATGGTGCACAAAAGAATCCCTGGAGGGCATTCTGCACCCTGGGTGTCTCTGTGAGTTGGTCCAGCGGAGGATCCCGCTGGCTGCCACTGCTGCTCCTAACGCCCTCCTGCTGCTCCTAACGCCCTCCTGCTGCTCCTAACGCCCTCCTTCACCCCCCTGCCGGCCCTCTGCATTGTTAAAGTGATGCTTGACACTTTTAACATCTCAGACATTAGCAGTTCCCCCCCCCATAGCCCACGCTGCTGTTAGCTTCGCTCTGGTTTTGTCAGGGGATTTTCCTCAGCGCGGATTTGCAGTGGAAAATGCTTCGGTTCTCTGACCGGCAGCTGATGAAATTGCATAAAAACAAGTTGGCCGGTAAAAGTTATAAAAAATAAAACTGAATACTTTCAGGATATGGCTTGGCATGTGGTTTATGTTATTTAACATTCTGACTTCTCAGGCACAACTGTTGGAACATGGTAAATGTCAAGATTTTCTACAAATTAATTTCTCCTCAATTTGAACTTTTCCAACAAAGAAATCAACTGAGAACTAGTTGCAACGTGTTGTATGATACACATTCTCATGGAAGTAATTTAGTTGCATATATGTAGCAAGAGCCAGCAAAGTTTCTCTGGGCAAAAATTTAATCTGAGTGAAAGAAATGTATAGAAAATCATTAGGACTTATTGGCTGAGATCGAAAAGCTTTTAAACATCTTTTCCGTTTATTGCGTATATTTTACCGGTTTTGGTCATAGTCATGGAAAACAAACAGGAAATACATGGAAAGCAAAACTGCAAGGGGCAGACTGGCCTAATTGATGATGCAGTCTGATGGTAATAACACAAGAGGCCAAGTTGAGAGCTGTAGTTACAGTAGGAGGCTGAGCATCAGGATGCCATCGCACCAGCCAAGCAATGGTCCAGTCAGCAGGCCTCAGGATACCACAACCTTTCCAGGCCAGAACTCAGAGAAGCTCCACATTCACCCTTCATTTTGCTCAGCTTTAGGTTTTGACAACTCTGTTATCAAATTTAGTTTCCTGAAAGTAAACTGGCAAGCAGAGAAATGCATTCAAACTATACTAGACATCACACACAGCACAGGTCAACAGACTGTGAGTAGTCAGCATGTCCTGAATATAGTTTTGCTAAGGAAATTATAACAGGTAGTGTACTGGATATGGATAACAGCTGCTCACACCCAGAACCTTTTACAAAATCATAAAATGCTGTGAAAATGTTCTATCACTTTCTAGCAGACAAATGATGAGGCTCTCGTTCACCCCTGGTCATGTCAAACACCATCTGGTTAAGCCATATACATACACTAAAACTGAATCTCAAAAGTCAATGGATACATTCCCGCCAATCTCATAATCTGAGTTATTTGCATGGCCCAAAATACTGTTAATTAACCCATTTATCTTCAATTTATTTCTATGTAATGGGCTTCCCTAAAAAGTTGCCTCTGATCACTATACATATTTAAACACCAGTAGAAAGCCAATGAAAAATGGAGTAGAACAACAAAAAATACTAACTATAAAGTTGAATTAGATTTTTAGGTAACGCTTTACATTAAGTGCACCTTCATAATGCATTCATAAGCAGGTTGCAAGTACACCTTAACATCCTAATATCCCTTAACAGGTTTAATACATATTAATAAGGAACATTGCATGATTATATAATTATAATGTTTGTTATCAATGTATATTACAGCTGGTAAGGGGTTAGGATGTTAAGGTATACATACATGATGTTTCTGAATGTTTTATGAATACTTAATGAATACATTATGAAGGTATTCTGAACGTTTTATGAATGAAATAAAAAAGCATTATGAAGGTGCAGTTAATGCAAAGCGTTACTGATTTTTATTTGTAAAAAAAATGGAGAAAACTTCAACTGCATAACTGAGCAAGGAGCTCATGGATCAGGTCATGGCTGAGTTAGGCACTCTTTGCTAACAACGCCTGGCCACCATCCCCATTTAGCCACGCTGGGATTTCTGGGCTGAAGACCTACCCCACAGAGCCATGGTGAGACGTACCTACACCTATCTAACAAGCCCTGTGGGGTCTCCTAGGAGCACCTCGGGGACTCCAACTTCCGAATCAGCAAGCAGGAGGCAAAAAGGTTTGTGTTGTCTTCCAGGCACCAGGTGACACAACAGAAGCAGATGGTACCGGTGATGCCAATGCCTCACCATTTCAGACAGGGAGAAGGTGCGTGTCGCATGCACCTCAACAGTGGGCAAAATAAATAACTGAAGATGGACCTCCCAGTTCATGGTCAATGATGCTGAAATGTTGCACTATGGCCAACAGTCTTAATTATCCCCATTTCTAAAATTCTTACCTATAATAATAGATACTGCATTGATCCCCATGGGGAAATTGTCTTTATGCCTCCCTGAACTTGCTCTTTGTAGAGTAAGCTGTCTGTGAAGGGCAGCCACCTGTGGGGGCACCCAGGGAGCTAGGGGTTAAGGACCTTGCTCAAGGACCCACACACACACTGAGGCTGGGTTTGAACCAATGACCTTCTGATTACAGGCACACAGGCTTAGCCCACTGAGCCACATACTGCCCCAAATTTGCCCAAAGTTAACAAATAAAGAGTAGCCAGAGAGCAGAAGCAGAACTGACCTAACAAGACAGGCTTGTAGGTGGCCACAAAAGACAAAGAGCAGGTGAGTGAGTGGATAATGGAAAAGGGAGGACTGACAGGCCAATCACAAGCTTTGGAAGGGAAGACGAGCAGCAGGGGGAGGAGCATACACTCACATGGCGCGCATGTTGTTCTCTGGGAGCAGGGGAATCTCCAGCACCTTGGTGTTAGACTGCATGACCTCATGGCTGGAGGTGGACACGGTCTTGCCAGTGATACGGTGCACCTGGTAGAAGGCGTGCGGACGCAGCAGGCGGTCATCAGCCGTGCCGATGAAGAGCTGCAGCGTGAGGGGCTCATTCTCCATGTAGCCGTAGAGCTGGGGGGGGGGGCAGAGAGACTGTCAATTTGCTTTGCTTTTAGCTACTTATTCCAGGCTACAACATCAGGCGGACAAAGAGTCATCTGAGGTATTGGTCAGCTTCCATGGCGTGACATGTCATTTAGGCTCGCTGCTCTGATGCAAAGACACCCAGGACCACGAATCCCTAATAGCAAGATTTTAAGTGCAAGACCTCTACATTTCAAATTCTTGTTTTTTAAATTTTATTATTAAGTAGTTGGTTACTTTTCATTAAGTAAGCATTTCTTAACATATTTTGGATAGCATGATGCACGTACAAGCAAAGCCATTCAGAAATTCTGCATTCTTTTATGAAATAGTAATTTTATCAGGTGTCAAAACTTTACCTTAACAAAATGTACTGTCCACATTAAAATTTTCAATTAAATGATTAAATAAACATGTTCAGAGATTATTGGATTTTATTCACATTTAATTTAAAAAATCAAAACATAAAATATCACAAAAAAATAACTTGGTTGGTCTTGGTTATCAATAACGTCTAATACGAAAAGGCCAGATCTGATGAAAAAATATGTTAAGGTGAAATTTCAGTAAAGGATAGGCAGTCTGATTATTTTCCTTATTGAACCCATAAAAGGGTTTTTACTGGAGTACATTTCTAACCATTTCCATAGAATATATTTTGGTATTAAAATAATAATAATAATAATAATAATAATCATAATCATCATCATCATCATCATCATCTCAGGGCAAGTGATAATGTTCAGTTCTTTATCCACTTCACCACCGGCCACTGCCAAGCCAGACTTCTCAGCCTCTAAGTGCCTGAATGTGTCCATGAAATACTGCACTGTGAAGTGCAGTACGCCTAGGATGTAGCTGGAACAAGGCTAACACGTATATTCTCTGAATAAATCAAAATTTTAAAAAGACAAGTCTGATTGTGCGAGTTTGCAAACCACCAGAAAGAGGGACTGACAGCCTTTTACTGTCTCTGCTGTGCTCCACTTTTGCTTTACTCACAAACGCCTAATGTGGAAATTCCCACTGACCATAAAAACTTTCAATTACATATCTGGCCAGTTTATCACTTTCAACTGTAGATACATGACTATTGTGTGGGTGTATGGGGACACAATTTGAGAAAAACAGACAACATCTTTTACCAACTTCATTCAGACAAATGAAGGTATCAGGAGTTTCCTATCTTTTTAGTTTTTATCATTTCAGCTGGAATGGAGTTAGGAATCAGTAAGCCTGGTAAAAAAAGAAAAACAAGAAAAACAAACCCCAAAGCCCCAAAAAAGCAAAACAAACACAGCAATACAATTGTGGGTGTGTGTATATCTGTGCACATTCGGTGCTATTAAAACAGCCTTTCACAGTGTATGCTGGGAAAATATCACTCCCAGTGCTGTCCTGCATTCCACTCCAGCTCTGGAATGCTCTTCAGGCTGCTGAAGTATGTCCCCTGCTCGTTCCGTCACCACAGCCTTTCCGGAACACCCTGGCCATGACCGGCATCTGCTTACGCCACGGCAGACATGTCCATGCCAATTACGAGACTCGGATCAGGCTGGCAAAACATAAAAGTGTATTTAGGGCACAGTCCACCAACCGGACCAGTTTTCCTTATGTCCTGTGACCCTGCCCACCCGCTTTCATTGGCTCGGTATTAGTTCCACTGCAGGCTCCGCCTTTCTCCAGGTTGACTTGCATGTTCCATTATTTCTGTTTCAGCCATTATCTGAAATACTATTTCATCTACTTGCTGTGAAACAGCAATAAATGGATAATAGATCTTTAAACCAGGTGGAACCTGTGGCTTGCCATCTTTGGAATCCCTTCAGTCTCTAAAGTTTGGCTGAAGCTGCAGAGTTCGAGCGATTCCCCACACCGTTGTGGAAGGAGCAGCTGGTGGAAACCCGCTGGGTGTGGTGAACGAAAGCAGAATGGACTTGGCGGGATGATCACATTTACCGTAAAGCGAACCCCAGAGGGCACCGCGAGATTGCCAGTGGGTGGAGCGCCGGACAGGATTGGGTCCGATATCCCTGCCTACGGTCGTCCCAGCACACATGTGTGGGCCGTCAGGAAGCTGTTGTGGAGCCAAGAAACCCGGTGGTACACTAGGAACATTCGACAAGTGAAACAAACTCCGCCGCGGGCAAAAGAATAAAAAAACAGACAGGTCTTTGACCACAGCCTGGGGCTGAATTAGGGAAGAGAGTGAATGGTGTCCATCCGAAAATTCCTACAAATAACTTGTGGGTTATCTTCCAGTACATCTGTCTATTTTAAACACCTATCTCACTGAGTTTAACTCATGACCGAGTGAAAACAGTAATTCTGTCAAACAAAATAAAGCCCCTGTTTATATAACAGATTGAGTCATAAAACAGAGCCCAGACCACATGTAACCTATGACACGCTCAGATGAATGGATTTTTAATTACCCTTGCATGGGGTTAAGAGAGAGGGCGAGTCTGGGAGCAGGGCAGTGAGGTGAAACACTGAAACTCACAATCATCGCTTCTGCAGTTCAAGATGTTGAAAGTTTTTATACCTGAACGATTACAGTGATGCTTCTTAATTGTCCGTCAATGTTCATGGACCCACAATTAATCAAAGCTTAACAAAGTCACCATCACAGCAAACAAAGCAAGGAACTCATTTTTGAAAAAGAAGTGATGTAATTAAAGTGTGCACCGATTGGTTGCCGTGCATGCCTGTCAAGCTACTTGCGAATGCTGGCTGTCATGGGGTGACAGACAGCCCTGGAACTGTGAGACCTCGCCCACTCAGAAATGCATGGCAGTCCTTTGAATACCAAATTGTTTGCAAACACAACACAGCAGCCACTCATCTCAGACTATGGACAGATGTTGTCTTGTAAAGTAATTGATGAAAAAAATGACCGTAACATTTCCTTCTTTCCCGCTCCTATATAAGGCTTATACAGGCTGCAGCCACAGCCACAGGTGCTGACCATCAGTGATTTAGCTTGAGGTCAAGGTCTTCTTGGATGCCTGGAGGCCCATGAGTGTGATTTATTTGTGCTTCAGTTCACAGCCTGGGTTGTTTCACCCCACTCACCGTATCGCCATGTGGGCACGTGTGCGGCCCCAGCTGCTAATGGTGGCTAACCAGTCGCCCACAGCACATTTCATTACGCTTGCAAGGGATCCAAAGAGACCCGGATATGACTTTGCTCAGCAAATAAACTAAAGGATGAAAACACCGGGTTGTATGATCTTCGTATTTTTTCATGCTGCAAGGTGGCAGAAGCCTGTGAGTGGCCTGACCCTGCGCCCCTTCATTTTCACTTTTGTTTTTCAACCTGAAACGGGGCCGGGGGGGAGGGGGGGGGGCAGGGGGTTACTTGTGACTTCTGGTCTGTGGATGATTTGAAACTGGGGTGACCTCATCCACGGCAGAAAGTGATTAATGAGACTAGGCTACCCTTGGTGAAGTCTGGCCCTCCTGACCGAAGAGGAACAATTGCCTTCTCTAGGGACTTCCCCAAATTCATCAACCATATGTCTTCCCTGATAGCGGCTCCTCTCTGCTCCAAATTCTGCAGAAGTTTAACATTGCAGTCTGCATATTTCACAGAGATTAACTTCATCTGCTAACATAAAATAAAATTGCCTGCTACTGTTCACCTACTTGAAGCAATGGTGACTATAATCGGCTAGACTGTCTGAAATTATACAGTTTTAAACGTATCCTGTACACATTGGTCAAAGTCAGCTTTTTCTACCAAAGATGTTCTCTAGCAACCAGTATAATCAGGGCTGAATATTTCCAACTTTTTTGCATTTTGATTCTGCCAGTATAAAGACACTGAGCAGCTCTCACAATGACAGCACAAACGTATCAATTCCAACATCTCACAACCACTGCTGGCACTGCCACAGCTCACAATCACTACTGGCACTGCCACTGTTCGCAATCACTACTGGCACTGCCACAGCTCACAACCACTGCTGGCACTGCCACAGCTCACAACCACTGCTGGCACTGCCACAGCTCACAATCACTACTGGCACTGCCACAGATACCCGCCCGCTTTACTAACACTTGTCAAAGCAGCACATATATGGAACCTTCAGTGGAACCGCGGGTTTCTCAGCTGTGCAGCCAGTTACCAAAGTGCAGGCCTTCTGGTGTCTGCAGGCCTTCTGGTGTCTGCATATCAGTCTGATTAGACTACAGTAGTGTTTCCCAATCCAGTCCTCAGGGACCCACAGCTGGTCCTCGGTTTTGCTCCCTCCCAAGACTATCCATATTTTTGCTGCCTGGGAGGGAGCACAAAAGTGAACTGTCAGTGGGTTCCCCTGGAGTGGATGTGGAAACACTGGACTACAATGCGCTGCCACAAGCGTGAAGAAAAAGCGCAGCTGAGTGCATTGTTAACTGTTGTTACTATTTGGCTTTACAGTACAGTATCTGATATTCAGAAATCAAACAACTGATTACAAAACAACTAATTACAAGTTAAAATGGCATTCTCCCTTGAAACCAAAGATAGTTCAGGTTTGCATTTACAATCCAAAGGAAAGATGCAGGTAAAAACATTTCATTTACATGTTTATTTCAAACAAAACAACTGACAAATCTGCAATTTTGCCTACTCAAACCACTAGACGTTTACTGCAGCATTTGAAACCTAATTAGTCACTCAATACTCCAGGCCATTCCGATCCCGAGTACAGATTCTTAAGCACTGCGCCGCCTGGTGCACATGCACTGCACACAATCGGCCAGTCAGTCACCTTCATGGCATGAGGACAACCTGCTCTGCCCTAAAGGGCATTCTACCCACCCATCCCTCCAGGCTGGAGCTATGAGACATTAACATCCAACCAGGTGCATATTTGCTTAAGAAAATTAGCCCCTGCTTTGTGCAGCTGTATGTTTCTGAGAGTTTGGACCCTGGTCTCCACTGTCTATATGTAAAAATACGCACATCCCTCTTTTAAACTTCCTACAGTCCACATCTTGGCCACATCGGCACACGGGGGGGTCATACCACCCTGTGACAGACAACGGCTACACATCCTCCGCAGCATCCGTGGCTTCAGGAGTGACTTTTCATATGTGAAAAACGCCCAAATAAATTGATGGTTTGAAGGGAACGGTATGTTATAAACTGGCCTGCCATAAAATTCAGGCTGGAGAAAGTGGGGGGCTGTGTGTGTGGGGGTATGAGGCGAAAAGACATTCGGACAGAGTGACGTACACTCGGCTCACATGGCCCAAGAATAAAAGTTGCCCAATATCTTACCTCGTAAATCTTTTAGGTTTTGGTTATCGCCTCAAACCGCTGAGAATGCAGGAACTCCGTTCCGTTTTCCAGTTGCTACTCGGCCGTAATTAGTGGTTGCCCCATACCAAGGCTGTGAGTAAGGGAAGCCCCCCAAAAGGGAAACACTACAGAGGGGCAGAGCTGGAGAGGTTTGGTTTGGGGGGGGCACAGTGGCTTCCAGAAAAACTTTCTCCCGGAGAAGCTGCTGCCAAGTCTGTCTGCCTGACACCAGATGCGTCGGAGAAAGTGCTTCACGGCGCAACGCTGACGGCAGGCAGAGGGTTTGCCCCGCTGATGCCTGAGCCAGTCAGGCTGGGGGGGACTGCAGAGAAGGAAGGAGGTGATTTCATGGACGTTCACCGCTCCTAGACAGTGGCCACTCACAGCCACAGCTCTGTCTGGCTGACACTTCAGAGGCAAAGCGAAGACTTTAGACTGGAACTGAAAACTGCGCTGCTTTCCCAGCATGTCTCCAATTAAAACAAACCACACTCTTTTTCACTATATATTATTGGTCCTTGTGGATGTCAAACAAGCCAAGACAAAGATGCAGGTGCAACTATGTGAGTGAGAGCTCCCTCCCTGCGAACAGCAAAGGTATACGGGCAGGTAAACGCAATAAATTTATAACGCTATAAATTTAGTAGATGAGTCAACCAACCAAACTGTATCAAATCACAAACTGGATTTCGTGTATCTCCAAAGTCTCTGAACACTCTGGATTTGTGCTTCCATGTTGAGCTATTCCCCCATGATCAGTTATTATGCCCCCCTTCATGAACACTTACACTCCAGTGGAGTGCACAACAGGATTAATAAACTGCAGGTTCTGTTTTGTTACACAACCGTTAGCAAAGGAAACCAAATGTAAAATATCCATGCTATGTTTTGGCCACTGCGTCACTGCGGTCGGCACGCAGCTCGCGCCGCAGCTCAGATCCTGCCATCTGCTTTTCTGTGATAAGGTAGCGATTTATCAGCTCTCTCCTGGCTCCCCACCCCTGATTAAATGCTTCCAGTGACTGGGATCAATCAGGAAAATCTCCCTTAAACCTTAAGTGTTTTTCCTGAGATCGGAGTCTCATTTTCTTCCTGAACAGGCTTATGAAACCAGCATGTAGATGCTGCACATAGCTGTGGTACGCGGCCAGGGTGGGGGCAGGAGGATTATGCTGTGTTTGCTGAGGGCACCCAGTTGGGAGAGGGGTGGGACGGCTGTGATTGCATGAGGGCCCTTGTAAACTGGAGACCCCATTATCGTTCAGCTTGTTGGGGTCTCCCTGCCGACCATCTCCTGGCGGTTCCCACAGCCTGCCGCACCGGGGACGGCGCGTGACGCGACTTCAGTGCCACGGGGGGAAGTTTCACTAAACAAAGGGAGCCTGTGTGCTTCGCAGGCAGCCGTGGAGGGATTTATACGGCCACGCAGGAGCTCGGGAAACCATACACTCATGCTGGGGTTAGGAAAAGCCAAAGCTTTTACTAATGCGTGGGCATGCAGCTGTGCCACTGACACGAGGAGGGGGCAGGAGTACTGAAGCATTCACCAGCCTCCAAAAGTTATCCTTAATGCCACCAAATCCATGGATTTGTGTTGCTTACTGTTTTGCCGCAAAGATGCAATGCAGTACCTCTGTCCCCACTTAAACCAGAATCTGCCCAGTAGCCACCGTAAAGTGATCCAGGCTCTCCTGTCAGTGAAGTGTGACGCCCCTTCGTCTTACAGAAAAGCAGAAGCTGCCATTTCGGAGATGCACTGGGGCCAAGTGGCGGGGTGGGGTGGTTTGGGGGGTGGAAGGCATTACAAAGATTAGGTCTGGGAGGACCATGAAGAATGAGTGCTTTGCCAGAGGTGACAAGGAGCCAGGTAGCATCACCTGGGCTGTGGAGATGGGACCTCCCCTGAGCCACGCGGCTGTGATCAGCAGTTAGCAGTAGCTCCTCCCTCACAATGGGGCTCATTACTCCCAAAAGCCAGGGACCAGGCCCAAGTCCCAGGGGAGAGGAGGGGGGGGAGGGGGGTCTTCCCACTGACAACCTTCTGTTTTTGAAGCAACCATGAAAAGAGAGGAGGGAGAACCCAGGTGAGGTATGTTTGCCTGGGTGTTGCTGAGCTGTTGCCATGGTATCCCTCCAATCCGACTGAGGGCTACATCATCCAGAAGTCGTCCCTGACTGACACCCAGCCCCAACATGTGGGCTTGGTAAAATTACTCAAGACACGCTTCTTCCCATAACACTGACTGCAATGAAGGACATGTAGCTTGTCTGAACCCTAAACAGAATCTGTGCCTGTGTTAAGAAGGTTGTTGGTTCCAATCCCATGCTTGGTGGTGTAATAATTTCACTGGTGCCCCCTTGAGCAAGGTACTCAAACCCAGCTGCTCCAGGGTCCCTGTTCTTTCTCCCCATGCGTCTTACTGCTAGGAATAAATCAAGGAATATGCCCTGAACCGACATTTGCACATATACAGGTATATTATCAGAGAATGATCAAGTATGGAACTCTAAAAAGTTACAAATATGAACCTGCATATTAACGGGCCATAAGTGTGACTGGGAAGCGCCTTTCCTGTGTGCGCATTATCCTAGTCAGAGTGAGTGAGAAAACCTCAGCCTGTGCCCGTGGCAGAAACCGTGTGCAAGCACTCAGCTGCCTGGCCAACTGTCAAGCAGCTCGGGACTTACGAACCTCCAAAGATATTCCACTCGAAAGTGAATAGTTTGTGAGTTAAATCACAGCGGCAAAAGAAACAGACACGCACACACAGAGGCGTGCACACAGAAGTGCCATCGCCGTCTGGAACATCCGCAAAGCGGTCTGAGTCAGACGGCGTTCTTGCGTCAGACGACTGACCTCTGCTGTGCTCTTCCCTGAATCACGGTGGGTTTACCGCTCAGGACTATCTGAGATCACCCTAACGGTGACCACACAGACTGCTTGCCAATACAGCTCAGCAGGCTGTCCCACCTGAGGCAGGAGGTGCTGCAGCAGTGTATGGACTGGATAGACAAATCAACAGAAGCTCAATTCCCTTAAAAAAAAAAATTGGAGTCTGGAGGTCCCCGAGGACTGGTGTGAGAAACGCTGTTTAAAGTTTCGTGGCTGTTCAACTTCAGACACCTTTCTAAAGCTACTATGTTCCAGTACAGCTAATCGAGAAATGAGAAAAGGGCCCCCCTACTGTCTCCTACCAGTAGGAGTTTTTGGGGGAAAACATATACCCTGCTTCACCAGGTCTGTCGCCTAAAATACCGGCCTAATAAACGTGACTAACTGGAACAATGAGAGGGACAGCAAAGTACATGCAACTAGCACGATGAGGAATACGCTGAAACTACTGCACTGGCAGCAGAGACATGAATGTGTTAAAGGCATTTAAAAAGAAAAAAATCTTACCTTTAAATGTTCTGCCAGTTGTTTTATCCTAGATATGAAATTATATTCTTATAAGTGAGTTATGGGAGACTACAACACCATTAGTGAATGCTATATATACAACTGTTTTTTACTATTGCAATTTAAGTCAGCTGGTGTGCACAAATGCATGAGTGAATTCTCATTCCTGACCTTCAAACTAGTCTATCTACTGGCTGCATGGTGTTTTTACTATATCATATTTTTATTTTACTGCGTTATATCAAGCCAAATTTCTTCTGCTGGTGGGGACCATTAATCAGTGAGAGCTGCGGCTTTTCTGAACGCAGTTCCTCCGGTGGGCCTTAAAAAGCCAGCTTTCCCCGCTTTCCTTTCCCGCAACTGACCTGTGTTGGAGCGCACATGGTCTGACAAGGGCGGCTGCCTTGAGCCGGCCGTGGTGAATGACACGGCCGCGAACAGGGCCGCAGGATTCTGCCATACAGAACATGAACTGGACCATGGGGACACATCGACTCAGATACAATTACTCATAACCGTGCACGTCACACGTGCAAATACACAGGGTGTTTCCCAATATGCCTACTTGACCGTACTCGTGCTCTCGCGTACCCGTTTTATGTCATCTTCCATTGCCAAAGACCAGTTGCAATACTAAGATAAGAAGTACAGGGGACGGTAAACATCCCTGGATGTCGTTCTTGCCCCAAATATCAAGGATGCATTGATTGCATCCTCACCAAACGAGACCAATCCCATGATTCAGTGCACTCCAACTTCATTCTTTGCATTGTTGGTATTGAGAAAAAACCACAGTCCCTTCTCAGGAATCATCCTGAGCTGACAGAACTCCATCCTATGGAGCAGAGGCATAATGATGATGAATATATTCTCCATTCCATAACACATGCTCTTTGCCAGTGTTTACATCATAATTAGCCGGAAGTCACACCTCAGATTAACAGGGCCCCACTGGCTGAACATCAAATCCAGCAATCTCTCATGGAAACTGCAATTAATTAACAAATCAGCAATTCCAGAGAGAAAAAAAACAGTGAATTTTACGAAAACAGAAAACCTCAGTCTGCGCGTTCCATTGATGTATGAGGAACCACAGTCAAAGGTTTATAAATGACCATAAAATTTTAAAACAGAATAATCCAAGAGCTGTTAGAAACCAGTGAATTGTTCACGTTTCTGGATTCAGCTGGCATCCATCCGTGAACAGCAGAGCAGGACGGTTTACGGGACAGAGACAGGTGCTTTACCTGAACCACTGGGTGGCCCCCAGATGGGGCTTTGACGGCACCACGGCTGCCCTCCGTCTCATAATGGGCCCGGTGGTGTGACTTGGGCTGCATCTCTATCTGCAGGTTGTATGGACCGGAGCAGGAGGGCAGCTGCCAGTCCAGTGCAGGGAGGGATGGACTGTGGAGGATAGAGTAGGCAGAAAGAGTGAGAAGATGGAGAGGAGAAGTGAAAAACAGGAGAGATAGATAGATAGATAGATAGATAGATAGATAGATAGATAGAGAACTAACTGCCAGCTTGTGCTACTACAGTCAGAAATACTGCAATACACAAAGCATATAGAAATACAAAATTAGTCATATGACAAATTCTGTCATGCCATGACTGACAATTCAGAACCACTAAGTAGAAATGACTTTATAGCAAGAATAAACATTGCACTTGTGTAATTCTTGTATAACTATCCTCTCATTCTAATTTCAGTTCCTGACATACTGTAATTGGAAGAATGGAACAGTTGGAAGAATAGCATAAATTAAGAATTAAGAAATATTAATATAAAAAAAATATATGAAACTGGAAGTTTTGTTGAGGTTTGTAGTAATAAAAATACTCCTGTGCTGGAGATCTGTTTTGTGACATAAAACAGAACATGAAAAGACGTCTCTGTAATCCGTCTGGACATTTCAGTGTTTTGTTGACCCAAAATGAACCAATTTCCTGCCGTCTTTATGACCATAGTCAAATCATTACATCACATTGGCAGTATAAATGGTTGCCTTGGCAGTATCAGGCAATGCAAAAGCTCCGCCCCTCCCTGGCTCAACCCCCCGCCCCCCACCCCCCCGCCAACTTGTCAGCATCACTTCCTGTCTGAGGTTATCTTGATCAAACACTTGATTTCCTACAGGAAAGTGTGCCGGTGGCAGAAAAACTCAACATAATCGAGAGGCAAAGAAAAATTAAAAAAACTTGTATAATAAAATAAGAAATTTATGCCAATGAAGTAAGTGTGTGCATGTGTTTGTGTGCGTTTCTACAGCAACTACTGCAAAATATATCACCCCTCCCTGAAAATTTGATTTATGAAATGTTCTGAACTTCAAAGAAAATCCTGTGTATGACTGTGGCATTTGTCCCCTGAGTGTAAAACGGCATTACAATAAGATAAGCAAACATGGATATTTTTAGAAAGTGAAAAAAGATTAATTCTTGGATCCGTTCTCGTCTGTGGGAAGTGTGGGGTGGATCTTGATTTTGATACATGTAATAAATTGTGCGGAGACACAAACAGCCCTCCACTTTAACACTGTACACTCACGGTATAACATGCAAAAATGACCCTGAACATATTTTTATATATATAGACTTGCTTTGATTTTGTCCAAAAGCTCAGAACATACTGATTGCCATTTGGATAAACGTTTTGACTCCTCTTTCTGCCTGTGCACAAATATGCATCCAGAGCCAGAGTGGGCATGCAAACAGTAATATTTACATGCACGTACACCCATGACTATGTGTGCATGCCTACCTGATGAAGGGTTTTGGCTTTGACCAAGAGTAGGAATACTGGGGCACATCAAGAAACCCTCCACTGTAGTTCTCTTTCTTGAAGGGCAGTCGAGGGCTTGGGTAATCTTCTTGGGTTTCGCCTAGGATCAGCTCCTCACCTCCAGACTCCACCTTCAGACTCATGCCTGGGCCAGACTCCTGGTTGGTCCTCCTAGCCTTGAGAGGGATGCCCTCTGAAATGTCACCGGCGCCATCGGTGCTTAGAGCATTGATGGCCGCGACAATGGCTGAGTTGGTGTACCGGTTGGTGTCCGGTGGCCAGGTGTCATCCCCAGCCCCGAGGCAAGGTGAGCCCTGCGGAGAAGGCGTGGCCGAGCGCGAGGCACGCCTACAGGGAGCCCCGCCCCCTGAGCCACTGAAGCTGTATTTGCGCTTTCCTCCACAAGGCGAGGTGGGGCGGGGAGAAGCGGCGGGCGATTGACGAGGTGAGCCGCCACCCAGGGCACAAGAGGCTAGCGAGGATGGGCCCTTGGGGGAGACGCAGGGCGACTGCCAGGGTGAGGTGGCTGGCGAGTTATCGTAGTTGTAAGAGAAGCCTGACTCATAGGAGGACGCTTCTGAGTGACAGCTCCGCGACGACAGGCTACTGGCAGGGCTCAGGCCACTTGGATCACGGTAGCCCTCGGTGCTAGGCAGGGTAAGCATCACTGCTGAGCTCAGCTGCCTGCTCACCGGCAGCCGACTCTCCTTTACGTCGTCCTCTGCCAGCTGCCCATAGGCCGTGATCTCGATGCGAGGGCTCTCCAGGGTCGGGCCTCCATTGGGCCGCAGGCCAGGCGACAGGTAGTAGCTGGAGACTCCGGTGTCTTCCAGCAACCCGTAGGCTGCCTGGTGGCAGGAGGACACAGAGATGACAGGACTGGGTGCCAGGCCATGGAACTGGGAAGACAGGCAAGGATTCCCTACACCAAGAGGCAGGGACATGCTGGCATTCTGGGAATAGCTGAAAGCATCTGAAAAAAAAAAGAGGGCCTGTTAAATCCACACAGACGCCAGAATATTTTAATTGTTATTTATTTAAGAATGTCAAGTTTTCCAGTTGTAGTGGATTTCCACCAAAGTGGGTCATATTCTGTTGGGTTATTTGGGGGTCATGACACATCTACCACCCTGACACCACAAAGGGTTTTTTTTTTACCTGTTAAAATACTTAAGACTTGCAAAGATCTTACTTGAGTGATTTGAACAAAAAAAATAGTCTAATTACCGGCTGCCTAGAATTTTTAGTATAATATTAGTACTATATTTAACTGCATGTGGAAAATACTGTTCAGTTTGCTGCAGATGAGAAAAAAAAAACGTGAAACCTCACCAGATCATGTCTTTGGAGGAGCAATAAAGCACAATTTCACTATATGATATCGAAACACCATCGGAAACGTCCATTTTTAAACACGTCAAAACCAAATTCAAATGGTTTTCCTTCACAACAAATTATTATATTGTTATACTGATTTGAATTTCTGAATAAGGATCATGTTTAACACTACGACACTGTATTGAATTATGAATATACTTCGTCTCACTGTTCTAAAGATTTCAAACTTTAGGAGTAAACTTTCACCGCCTTTTTATAACCACCCAGTGACAAACCACAAAATACGGGGGCAGGCGGTCTAAAATTAGTCTAATCTTGTGACTCTCAGTTTCCACTTTTGTTAGAGTTGAAACACAAGGCGCACTATTTCAAAATTAAAAATGAACATTAAAAAGTGATGTAAAAAGGCAGGACTGTCAAACGCCCGGTTCTGCTGCCCGGAGCAGCACCTGCCGCTCCTTCTGTCACGCTGTAGTTAAGCTGGTACGTAGCCGGTACCACATGAGACAGCCCCAATATTCAACATTTAGAAAAACAAACAAAAACATTTTTACTTTAATAGATGTTATACATTTTCACATATACATTTATATATTTTGTATACTGTATAGCTTTTCCATTGTTGCACTGTATAAGGTTTTACTGCTATATATTACATATGCTATCTCCTCCTCTTGTACCGTCCTTTTTGCTGCTGTAACAATGCAAACTTCTCAACTGTGTGATTATTAATAATAAAGGCTGACTTGTCGTATCTGTATTATAATAATAATAAAGGCTGACTTATCGTATCTTTATTATGCTGCTTCCCGTTGGCGGGTAGCACACCGAGCGCTCGCGCCCCGGCGCGGGTTTAAATCCCCGCGCACGCTTCCCCCAGCAAACGGCCGTCACTCTCCCGTCAGGCGCTTCCCCATTATTAGCAGCCGGAGGGTGCTGTGCCCCAAACGGCACCTCTACAGACCTTTACTCCTCGCAGGGTCCTCCTCTTGGCTGTATTCAAACAGAAAGTTAAAGTCAAATTCTGGTTCCTCATTGTCGGAGGTCATCTTTTAAAACTGAAGACTGTAAACGACGCCTTCTTTATTTCTTTACTTGACCCGACGGCAGAGCGCGGTTCGGCTCTACAGTGCGCTCCCTCCTGAGATCCAGTCCGTTATGCTGCAGCAGAGTCACAGCCGGACCGGCCTTCACGCGCTTGGCGGGCCGCTCGTGCTATCTTCGGCCTTTCGGGGCGACGTACACACCCACGCGCGTGGCGTGACTTTCACTCGCACGTGTATCCTATCCCACTACACACACACCCCATCGAGCGTCTGCGTTTCCGGGTCTGAGACACCCACGAAAGGCGAGGCACTGCGTCTGCCAACGTACTCTAACAGACGAAGAGGTATTTCAGACATCACAAGTCAAAAGTGACGGGTTTATGTAGTTGGAATAGAAAAAGGGAATAAACTGAAATGTGTAGGTAAACTTGCACCAGAGATATTTAATACTCAAGCACACGCTAATAGCGACAAGGAAACCAAGAGCGCTTTAACCAGCCACGCTTGATGGGCGTGCTTCTGTTTTAAGAGCTCCCATGTAAACGCATGTTTAAAATAGTAGGTCTCCAGCATCCGACTTATGATTGATGAATTCGGTTTTTTTTTTCCACCACGTCACTGTTTTGCATCTTGTACTCACTGTAGTTACCCGAGCCAAAACACTTCAAGAATAACCCTCGTACAAATATAGAGCGACAGCGCTGGAACACTCTGACAGACACGTCTGCGGGAACCTCATAAGTGAAATGCCCTTGGAGCCCGTGTGCAGTTGAGGGAAACTAATCACAGGTTGTGGCTGTCTGCTTGTGGTCCAGTCACTCGTCACCACAGAGGCAGAGGCAAGGAGAAAGTTGACGGGGCTCAGCATCCCGCTGGCGTCAGCATGGTGGAAATACCGGGTGGAGGGCTGCACCCACCAGCGAATCCAGCAGCGCTGCCACGACTTGGGTCTGTTATCGATTATGGCACAACTTCTTTACAGATGATTAGTGATTTTTCGCTCGACTCCTCGGTAAATAAAGACGGTTGGATAAGATACAACGATTGTAGTGGACTCATGTTTACAAATAAATACCCCTGTTTGCCACCCCATTCTGAAATTAATATATAGGAACTGTATTATCTTTTGGTGACGTTTTATAAGTGCACATATGAGATCATATTATTGTTATTATTATTATTATTATTATTATTATTATTATTATTAACAGGAGCAGAGACACATAAACAATAACAGTAGTACTGTTATTGTTTATTTATTAACACAGAGATCTAGAATCATCATTTTCATCACATTTTGCCCCCTCGTATAGGATTTAAAAAAAATGTGTTATACACCTGTAGCCTCTACAAGTTTGCGAATTCTGTATGGTGCCCAGTACAGATTACCCGGTAGGCAGTGCTGTAACGTTGGCTACATAACCCATCTTCATTTTTGATACAATCGGTTGCATGAATACTAACTGCTGGCCAATTTAGTGTTTACAGGATGCTACTATAGAATGCATGGTTCATAGGCTGGGGCTCCCGAAGCCCCTCCCCCGTAGTTTCATCCACTTCCCAATTGGTCAGCTTGTAAATGCAGGCGCGAATGAAACAAGACCTTCTGTCACAAGGGAGTATTCGCTTAGTGATTATTATTGCATGTATTTGTGTGCTTCCATTATACAGCCGGACAGCACACACTAATTGTTTATTTACTTTTCAGGCGGTAGTTTTGCACAAGTCAGTGACACCCGTATGGCTTGAATTCAGAGTAAACGTTGCATTTATAGTAGTGATCATGACAGGATCTGAAGCACAAACCCTTGGCACAGCAGCCTTTAAACCGAAGTACACACTGGTGTCTCGACTTAAGACTTAAGACACGGCTTCACAGCACAGTCCCTGTAGCCTAATCAGCCTTCATCTATATGTATAAGACGCACATTGGCAGTCACCTGGAAAGTAGCCTACATTGCGTTGCGAAGCACAAAAAACCTAGAAAACCGGACTCGGCAACCCAGTAATATCGAGTTCCACGGCCACTGGTATATTTGCTTAACAATATAACAACTTTCAACCTGTCACTTAAAGAATACGGGCTACAGCTGGGAAAACCACAATACGAGAGAGAATTCGATAACAAAGTGAAGCATGGGCTAAAAAGCTGATTACCTTCTTCAGCCGACTTCATGTTGGCGGCGAGAGACGGGAGAAAGAGCAATCCCGTTTCCTTTCCCACAGCCTGCGGAGCAAGTGGTCCGAAGTTGAACTTGGAGGAGACTCGCAGACAGCGATTATCCTGCATTCAATTAGCGACAGGTTGGCGTTTTTCGCAGGCGAAGATGTCGATATTACAAAGTAATTTCTGATATCAAAAAAATGAAAAAAGAAATGACACCATTTATCCTGCTACAAATTAAGAAAAAAAAACCTGGAAAGTCTGGATAAAGTGAATGTAAAACGGTTTTGTCCACACTATTACAGTGTCAGATTATTCAAAGCACTTTGTGACAGCAGAGCGATACTTTCATATAAAATGCAAAGAGAATTTGGCAGTAGGTGAAAAGTTAGATTTATTCTAAATGAAAAGTAACCGCTCCCGCTCCTGAGAAGGAATTGTTCGGTGTTTTTTTCTCTGTCTGCTAATATTGTCATTCAGATTTCTAGTGACTCTGGGTTTGCGTGACGCAGAGCTTGTCAAGGAGGTAGACGGCTGCCTTTTTAAAGCTGGAAAACACCTCCGACGAGCAGATCCGCCCCTTTCCAGCAGTGACGCTGGGCTCGGCTTCGGACGCGGAGAGCCGAGGTAGTGCGACGATCGCTGCCCTGGGATTCCAGCTGCAGACGTGGGAGCGGGGCGGGCGGAGCGCCACTTTGTCTATTTACTTTGCTGATTTGAAACGTTTCACTGCTTTGTTTATCTTGTTCACCCGTTTGTTTATGCCGAGATTGGCATGCTTAAATAAACATATGACCTTGCTAATTAACTAAGCTTACAAACAAAAAGTCCAATATCACACAATATACATAGGCAGTATAATCATCTGTAATTTTATGGGAGAATAATATTGTTAGGACACATACAATGCGGGGATCACTATCAGTCACAAGATTTCTGTTCAACTTTCTTCCCAATACTTTGCCGTCTTATAATATATGACGCAGTACTAAATTTTTTTTTTTTTAAGTGCACGATAGAGGTATGTTTTTTTTTTAAGGAAACAATTTTCCCTTTTGTAAAATCTTGTTTTGTTAAAAATCTTGTGCAATGAGCGCCCAACAATAGACCGACTGACGCCAGTTCAGCGCTGAGAAATTAGCGCTGTACTAGGTTATATGTCATAAGGGTCGGTCTAGGAATTTATAATTAGTCCGTTTGAATGATCTACAAAATAATTAGTAAAGAAAATGAGCGAGTAGCGAAGGTATTTGCCCCAAGAATCTTAAGAGCAACTGGCAGAAGTAATAATCGAATATAACTAATCATCACCAGATTTCAGAATCAATTGAGAGCAAATTAAGCAGGCTTTAGCGCTGGGGATTCAGTCCTTAACCCATGAGTCGTCTTTTCGGTTTTGCGCAGCATGCGTTTATACTTCTTAAACCAAGATTTCCTTCATGGCCAAGCTGTACTGCCCATCCCACCGTTGCCATTCTGAGTGGTTTGTGACGTTGTATTTCTAAATAGGTCTTTTAATTAACATATTTCCTCATTGTTACAAACAAATCGAATTGATATTTTTTTATTGTTGCTGGCTAAATATTTCTTTCGGACCTAGAGGCTGGTTTGTATGAATTAACGCGTGCTTAACTATAGGCCTATATTTTAACAATTGAAAAATACATTGTTTCATACAGAACCATTCATAAACAGTTAATGCGGTCTTCCAGTGAGCCCTGTTATCGGTGCAGATGGTTCAGATTGAGAGCATCTGTTTTTAAAAGAGGCTAAGAGTAAACACGCATTCAGGCTGCAACTTTCACTATACCTTTGGTTTAGCAAGAGTTGGAGTCGCACTGATTCACACCCAGGTTAACTTAAGCCGGGCGCGGAATGCAGTTGGGGAAAGTGAGTGGAGAGCGGTGGTGTCCAGTGAATGCGGAAGCATCAGTCCAGCGGCGCAGAATGATCGCGCTCCAGATGCGGTCCCCCGCGGTCGCCAGTGCACCTCAGACCTTAGCAGTGCAAATCAATTTAGTGGCACCAAGTATTGCTATATTACACTATAACTGCTACACACACTTGTGACAAAGAGGGGTGCTGATCCAGTGACCATTATCTACTCAGGGTTGTTGCTAACCAGAAGCAGGCTCACACAGACTTAAAATATTACAGTCGGATGACCCCTTTGTCGGGTATGACTCAAATAATATAGATTACTATGTATTAAGACCAATTCCATGGTATTTATATAAACAGCAAAAGCAGACTTAAAAAGTAACCCTATATCTGTAAATTTTCATACAAGAGACTAATGGTTTCTACCATCCATACATTCCACTTTATTTGGTTGTTTTTTTAAGAACATTACATCAGTTACGGTATGATAAATTGTTACAATATACCGGTAGGCTAATAGGGGTACTTGTATACTGTACCTATCCGGAAATTGAATGTTTTTTTTTCTTTTCCTAATACTCCTGCTGCAAATACAGTATAGTGCTTTTAAAGTTATTTCCATATGACTGCAATTATAAAGACATCGCAGGACTTTAAAGAAGTGTACATTTAGGTTATTGAACGCCCAGGCGTCTGTGCCAATTCTTGTATAACTCCCCATCGCTGAAGCATTGTAACAGCGTAGAAATCTCTCCGGAGTCACTGGCTCACGGTTTCCCTACAGAACACAGACTGTGATGACTGTTAACTTGAATGGCCATAACGAGTGTTTTTGTAAGCGTTGCAGTTCGGAACCGATCTAATCTTGGACAAGGTGCGTGGCATGGTGTCATTTAAAATGGTGATTAATGTCCTTGATAATTATTATTAATGATAACTGCAGGTGCTTCTGGTTCAGACGTAAAAAAACAGTAATAAAACAATATTAAATAAACAAATAGTGTCATGTACTTAGAAATCAAATTATTGCACGGTTTAAGTTGATTTACTAGCCTCATATTTCCATTTTGCCTGATAGTTCACCAATTTCAATGTACTTATTTTAACTTTGTGAGCATGGTGGCTCATTGGCTAAGCCCGCGACCCCATGCTGGGGTTCTAGAGCTGGCCCATTCTGCCTGTGTCCATGTAAGTACCCTGATTTCCCCGAACAATCCCAAGACACATGGCTTAGTTGAACTTGTGTTTTTAAATTGTCTGGACTTTCTCTGTGTTATGGTGATGTTATGGACTGACATCCTGTGCTGGGTGTGTCACACTTCCTAGAATACGCCCCAGGCTCAGTGCAGCCCTGAATTAGATAAGCAGTTATAGAAATTGATGTATCTCTTTTGATCCAAAGTGACTTATAATTACAGTGATTCCCCGCCTATCGCGGAAGCTACGTCCCAGACCCATCAGCGATAGGTCAAAATCCGCGATATAGAAAGACCATATAAATAAACATATTTTTTTAATATAGTTTAAGCCTTAAAATACCCCTCCCACACGCTTTAAACACATGCAAACTTATTAAAGCACACTTTGTAAACACATATGATATGTGGATGTCGGGCTAAGGATATGAGTAACATAATAATAATAATATGTGATGTTTATATATACATCGGGGAGAACTGTGACGCGTCGGGGGACAATCCGCGATATAGCGGGGTCACGATAGCGATATGCCGTGGGATCACTGTATATCCATTTCTGCACCGGAATCTTATACTGAAGCTAACTTGCCTCAGTAACTTGTTGAAGTACTCCTGAGATTTGAACCAAACACTTTTGGGTTATGAGCCCATTTTTTTTACTACTACACTGCCAGTGGCTATTTTTAAAAAATATTATTCTCCAAGTGTTAATGACTTTGGATTGTTAATGATTATTTTTAATGGGATGTAATTCATGGCCTTGTGGCGAAGGGCAGGGACGGATTATGGGTTGTGTGGGCCCCTGGGCAAAACGTTCGCGAGGGCCCCCCCCCCCCACCACCACCAGCACCACCACCACAACCACCACAATTCAAGGGCCCTTGGCAGCCAAACGCCCTCCCTCCATGTTTCCATCAGAGGCCCTATAGGGTCAGGGGCCCTTGTAGGCAGAGGATCAAAGAATGTAGGCCCTCTAAAATAGACAAACGAAAATACATTGTTGATAAGCGTTGCAAATTGTTTTGGGCTAGGGGCCCCACGGGCCCCCTGCACCCCAAGGGCCCCTGGGCAGCGGCCCCGCTGGCCCGGTCCGTAATCCGTCCCTGGCGAAGGGCTGCCACGTGTAGCCAGCTAGCTTGTGGGGCGCCGAGAATCTCTGCTGATTCCTCAAAATCTGATTGGGCGGCAGCTGGAGGACGGCGCACACAGGTCAACCGGGATCCATGAGCAACATATTCTGAATGATTTTTTTAAATGCTTGTAGTGGTCAAATAGTCCTTCTGCGGCGATGAAATCAGGCCTTGCCAGTGACTGTGACAAGGACCAGAGGTTCCAGATTTCGTTAGCATCCCACGACTGCGCTTTCAACCTAAGCACTTATATTCTTTGTTTATTTGAGTTGAATATAATGTGTTGGTGTCATGTTACGTGATGTTAGCCTGTAGCACATGCTTTTATCTAAAGTGTCCAACACGTTTCACACTCTCATTGTAGCCCGTGAGGCTTTTCACTGCGCACTTCTGTGTCTGATGTTCAGGATCCCTTGCTAAAGGACCCTTAACCCATAACTGCTACCAGTTCTTGTTGGATTTTCACTGCGGAGCTCTGTATCAGAAGATCACATGCGTGCACAGTGTTTGGTGCGAGGACTCAGCAGTAGGTCTTAAAGCTTCACAGCAGCATCCTCTCTACTCTTGAGGGTGTCAAACAGCTTGCCCAGGTCACTGAGTCCTCCATTCCTACTGCTCTCACTGTAGCTGCAATCTTCCTTCCTCTGTGATACCACTGTATTCACTGACCGCAGGTTTGAAAATACATTTCTCACAATCGAGCATGAAATGACCAAATATTTAGTGTCTACAATTGGCTGAGTTACAGAAAGTGAAAAGCAATAAAAAATATCATTTACAAGAACAGACCGTTCAGTGCTACGAAGTCCCGCTTAAAAGCTAAGTGATGTTTTAAACTAATAAATTATTCAGTCTTCTTCAGGTTTCACAGATGTATGTTTTCCTCTTTAGCTGCATGGGATGCTTTTTCTGGTGTTTTCTTCTATAATCTACTATGCAGATATTTTATGGAAAAATCTTCAAGTTTGACACTTCAGTCATGCTCGCTTCGCTATAAAGATCATTTCCACCAGAATTCTCTTCATGTTCTTTGCAGAGATTTCCTTTAGGGCAAAATTAGGAGCACAATTAGCACTTACGAGGTCAAAAGTTTATGTCCTTAATTAATATCTACTATTTTTTTCTTAGGTGGGTTGCTGATTATTAACTCAGAACACCATCACTAATTTTTAGGTGAGACAGTAGGCCTGCAGAAATCATTAAGTCCTGTGGTGTGTGAGAGGCTGATGTGTCATCACGTACACCCTCGCCTTTGGCTCTGAGTCACTGGGCCAAAGTGCGTACCCTGATGCTCTCGGGCCGAGAACACACAGCCACATGTCGCTGCTAACTCACACCCTCTGTTTCCCAGCGGCCCACCCATCAGGTTTCGCCACGTGTGGGACATCATCCAAGCGCCCCGACGGGGGAAGGCCTCCTAGCAAAGAGGCTTTGCCGTGAAGCGGAGCCCAACTTCACGGCAATTTTCAGCTTTGGAACAGATTATATTTTATTTAATTCCTTTGAAAAGTTTATTAGGTTGGTATTGTTGCGAATT